TAGCAGTTCTGTATTGTGCAAATTAAAAACTGAACAACGTCGATGCATGTGCTATGGCGTGGAGCTCAGGAAACAAAACATAAATGGTGAATGCGAACAAAACACAAACACTAGCAACGTAAAGCTATATTATGGCTAGTGAAAAACCATAATATTATATGAATAGTAAATGTACCGTCTTCGATTATCGTACACATGCGTATAATTCTTAGCAAAATTAAAGGGCCGTTCATCAAATAATCTTTACCTTCTATAAACACTTTTTGGTTTCGACACAAGTATTTACTGTACAAAATCAATGCGAGTATTTATACTTAAAAAGAAAAATTGCACTTTAAAATATCAAAATTATATTTTTTTCGGTCCTAAAAAAATTCCGTTAACAAAGACTAACTTCATAATAGATGTCATTTTTTCATTTTTCTCGTTTTACCGTTCGATTTAATTTAATTTTGAAATTAGTTTGACACCCACAGAACGCTAAGAAAAATAAAAATAAAAATGACTATCGAAATATTTTGAAATTAATTGATAATAAGTTATTACTAATAACCTAATAACAACAGAAAAGAAAAATAATGAGCAAATATATATAAAAAACAGTACTGTCATAAATGTAAGTATATGTATAATTATAGACAAACATTCAATCACGAATAACGCCGTATTCAACGGCTAGCATACCTACCTACATATTTTACGTATCATTTCGTTCTTATGACATATTTTTATTTTTTCCTTCGGAATATAATTTCTACTAAATGAGCATTGATGACGATATTCATTGTTCTCGGTGTATATTGTTATTACGAATGACAAAATTTTTATACATGTATTATATTATGTAATATAAAAAAATTATCTGTATAATATACAAGTGTACTATATTTATTTGAGCATTTTCCTATACAAATCATAATACATTATGATATTGACATCATTACATTATTATGTTTTAATGACATATTATACATATTTTTTTTTTTTACTTCGCTTAACACTTATTTGTACACCCAATTTTTGTTTACAGATAAACACCTTCGCTTAAAAGGGTATTCGAAAGTAACAATGATAAGTATTTTAACTTTCAAATTTAGTACCACCCACTTGCATAATTTTTTTCTGCGCTTTAATATAAGACAATAATATAAATTTTACGAGCAAATAATCGATATTAGGCGTATAGAAAGTATTTACTCACCTACGACCGTTATTCAGTTTAAAGATGAAAAGTAAAAATAATAATTTAATCATAAACAATATATTTTAATATAATTTTTTTCAATTGTTAATTTCGACGACTTTTCTCAAACACAAATCGTTTTTACTAATAAATTTGTTACGATTACACATTAAATAAAACATTTTTTTTTTTTACTAATATTTGATATATATATTACAGTTAAAGTATTGAATCAGTTAGTTTATGAAAAAACGTATTAATTTATAAAATAACTAAAACTTTTAGACAATGTATATAATTTACACTTTTCACTAGTTATTTTATAAATTCCCTGGGATTACTTCATTAACGTGTCAAATTAATATATTCATAAATGTAAAATATCGTTATTTTATTGTTTATCATAGCAATAAATTAGATGAAACTAACGTTCTTGTTGTCGGTGACGGCAGTGTTCATGTATATTTAATGTGTTAAATAAAATTATTGTTGTACATGTATTATTTTTAAGATAGTCGGTAAAATTAATTAGGTTTAAAGTTCAGTAATATTCTTACAGTCACACGCGTTCATAAAAAAAAAAAATAATTCTTAAAAATAAAATTGCATTGTTATAACTACAGATATATAACGGTCACAACTTAAAAATAGGTCCGTTACATTAGCACCACCATATTCAAAATTTAAAAAAAAAAATATACCAACAATTGTTATTTCATTTGTACACATTTGTAATCCTGATAAAAACATTTGTACATCTCCCCAAATGCCCAAAAAAACCAAATTTCCGTGGTGGTACTAATGTAACGTTACATCAGCACCCCACTTTTTGTACAGTAGACTTATGGCTTCCAAAATGGTACTAACGATTGTTATTTCATTTGTTGGTACATTTTTTTTTTAAATTTTGAATATGGTGGTGCTAATGTAACGGACCTCTTAAATATATATATATATATATAATTGTTTCATATGCCATAATATAATTTGAACACTCAACAATGATGGTTGTGATAAATACTAATTAATTTTATTTCGTAATAATAATGAATAAATTTCACTTTTTCTGACGTAGGGAATTCAGTATAATATCATTTATAATTTACCATATACTCATACTAAAAGTTTCCTTTCAACTCTGCAGTGTTATTCGTAAAATTTAATTTTTATCACAACTAGTTACATATTATATGTGTAATATATTTTTAATAAGTACTGTATGACTGTCTATGAAATTGTGAAATATCTTTTTAGTGTATGTATGTTCGATTATCATTAATTTTATATTATCCTATGGTAATATATGAACACATTATTATTTAAAAAATATATACATAATACACACACGTATTGAATAATACGATACTATAAACACAAATATATCACTTAAAAATACATTTAAAAAAAAGGTTTGTTTAAAATAAAAAATTAAAATATTTTAACTTTCATTATCTTATATTTACTTCTTATTCACCTAACAAATAAACAAATAAATATTAAACTATTAAAAAATAAAATATTTTAATGTTATTTCATATTCTTACTTGACATTAATAACAAATATAGAATGTCATTAAAGCTGGTAAATACTACGAATTAACAAGGTAAAAACCAATTTAAATAAACTTGATCATATAACTTTATCATCATATTATTTCTGAGATATTTTTATTCAAATTCAATGATGAATAAAACGAAAATTAATTTTAATATTCTATCCAATCAATTTTTTTTATTTATTTTAAGCTTAAACTAAGATGTTTTAACAAAACACTAATAATAATTTTCGAAATTAAAATATTTTCTAAAATAAGAAATCTTCAATCTAAAAGAACAACCTATATTCTAAATCCCTTATTCTAAAACAAGACTAATTTAAATTTTATATCTCAATGCATTTTCTATTAATATTTTATGCTAAACAATTTTACTATAAAATTCAATGCTCTTCTATTTACACATTTAAACTATTACAAATAAAATAATACTGAGAACTTTTTATTTCTAATTTAATTAAATTTGAATATAATTTTTCTACCAGAAAATAGTATTATATAAAAACTTATAAAATAATCTAAATGATTATTACAAACCTCAAAATAGTAAATATCTTCTTATTTTCATACTGATATTACGTATATTTTATACTGCATACACATATGAGTGAAATTGTACTATTGGTTTAATAGAATACAACATATAGTTCTTTGTTTTAAGTGTTGAAAATTAATTTACATTTTTATTCAATGGTTTCTTTTTCTTTTTTACTTACATAATACCAAAACATTTAATACAATAGTGACACATTGAAAAATACTTTTTGGTGACAAGTTTCGCATAGTTTACTAATTTTAAAATATCATCATACTTAAATATGTTGAACTATCGGCACGTTTTCTCGAAAGCAACTCGTTGCTCTTGTTTACTCGTTGAACACAACTATAAAATTATTTTGTCTATATTGTTCGGTTAAGTGTAAATAGACAATTGCATTTATAGGTTATCAGTTTTATTACTGCTCAGGTAATTGTTGTTAATTTTAAATTGCTCGAGCAAAATTAGAACAATCATGTTTAGCCATTAAACACTTAAACTGTTCGAGTAAATTCGACAATGCCCGGAATTTGGATGTTGATTTCACCTGTAAACTCAATATTACCTGCTGTAATATAATCTATTGTATATGTTTGGTATGTATTTATATATATATATACATTATCTAGGTTTTTGTATTATATTTTAACGTTATGCATTGTTCTATAATCTTAATTTAAATATTATTTAAAAAACAACTTAAGTTGAAGAGCACCTAATTCACTTCAATACCTAAATTGAAATGATTCAATTTTTTTTCTCCTATTATATACATACATACTCACACATAGGTCATGCAATTGTGATGATTTTTTAGTTATATTGCTGTATAAATAATTATATTTAAAATATATTAGTAAATATATTTATAATATACTAATTGTTGGGAATTAAAACTTTAGATTATTATTTTACTTTTAAGTTAATACTGATGACTATAAAAATGAGTTAAAAATATTACTCATTTTGTTTGGACATGTATAACTTCTCCTATTTCTGTTTTTATAATTTAATATAGACAAAAAAAATGTAACTTAATAAAATATATTCCTATACTAATGCATATTATTAATACAACCAGTTTTAAAATATTTTAAAATACTATAATTTTGGTAATCTGATGACATAAAAACACCAATTACAACTCTAACATTACTATCGTTCCACGACGCAACGACATATTGCAAACAGAAATGCATCCCACTGAGATCGATGATGATTACAATGACGTATTAATGTGATCGTGAACAGAACTAGTTGGAAATTCTGGTTGTTACTTTCTATTACATCAGTGATAAGCATCTTATTTCCATTAAAATTAAAAAACGACCTGTAACGTTAAGTAATATTCGATAATTTAAAATTAAATAAACAACGCGTGCAAAAATTAACGTCATAGGACATTCGATGACTGTTAAGATCCGGAGAAAACAATAGATTTGCATCATAGAACATAGATCCGGTTTACCGGTCTGTTTGAGAAATAACCGTAGCTACTTTACTCGAAGAGCCTTGACGGTTTCCGGGAACACGGCCAATGGTTTGTCCACAGAAGAATGGCATTGATTGCGAGGAATCGGTTTTTTCCGTTGGAGAGTGAACGGCCTTAGATTTGTTGTTGTTTTCTTACGCCTAGTGGGGGTGAAGAAAGAAGGTGGCCGAATGCATCTTGAAAACCAAAATAGTAGGGATGGAAAAAAACATAATAAATCCAACCATTACTGTAATCCCAGGTCAGTCTATGATCATTGGAGAAAGTATATTACGACCGTCCAAGTGAAGAGACGTAAACATTAACTGTTGAACTTGCGTATTCGTCGCACCTGTTTCAGCACATTGAAAATACATTGGATACTGACAATAAGGTAATTTTGAATATACTCGTATATATTACTTAAATTATTATTTTACTTTATGTTACATTTAATTTCTATTAGTTTTTCGATTATCGTTTTTTTTTTTAATTGAACAAATTTTTATTATTTATTTTCATATTAATTTCAATTACGTTTTTGTATGATACTACCTAACCTAACCTGCATTTCAAGTATTTTGCATTGAATTTTTCAACTTTTGCCACTTATGATTGCAATACAATATAAATCAAATTATATCTTAAATATCCTAAAAACTAAATTATAAACTAGAAAATTTGTAATTTATTATTATCTATTACCATTGAAATATAAATAATTCAACAATTTTATGTTGCTTAAAGTCCGAAAAATATAATTGAATCATTTTAAGTAATTTCATAACTTATGTATTGCTTATACAAATATATTAAATTGAACTTTAACAATAAAATTATTTTATAAAACGTTATTAATTATTTAATATTTATTAAAAAAAAACTAACAAAATTGTATTTAATTAAAATTTTCTTGATTATTTATATATTTTGTTGAATATTATTTAAAAGTGAACTATAAGTTACACTCCATTTTAAAAATGTAATATAAAATGATAAATACTAATGCTAGAGTAGACGTTTATAAGTTGGAAAATTAAGTCAGTAAGTAGTGTTTATTGTTTAATAAATGGTACCTACCTAAGTGTAATTCTTATTAAGGTATATGTTTGGACGTTTGCAACAATTGTACGTTTTTATGTTATAATTATAAAAAATAACTCTATTAGATGACAAATATCAACTTTTAACTTCAGTAAGCTTATTTAGCTTTAAAGAAACTTAATTGTAGTCCAACCTAAATTCGTTGTGGTATTTCAATTTGAATAACTATGCACGTCGTAAACCATGTCAAAAAAGATTTTTTTTTTTTTTTCAGTCATAAAATATTGTCATCAAATTATTTTTATTATTTATTTTATAAACTACATAGAATCACGTTTAAATAATTGTTTTTAAATACAATCATTTCAAGTTCAAAATATCATGTCTCTCAATAGGTAATATATAGGAACGGGAATCCACCTCCGCTATTATTTCGGGTAGAAACCGTAACATTTTATCGACTAGACGTTTTTGAGTCCTTAACGTATATCTTATGCAGTATCTATGCATAGCGATTAAGGAAACATTCGCGGTGAATATCAAATATCCATGCGAACAAAATATCGAAACAAGATTAACCGGTGCAGCCACCTTCGTTTTACACACGCAACGTCGATACCACAGTTTATTTAATGACAATTATTATCACTATTATCGTCAACAATTCTATCCGTAGATACCATCATTAAAGCACACGCAGACACACACCGCAACAGCTTCGATTGCTCGGTTAAATAATCCACAACAAATATTATGCGTCGGGTTCGCTGTCTTGCCGCGAGGTCACGCGACGTGTATTCACTTTCTCCGTTCGGTCAACGCGCACACGCCAATAACCATTTACCGCCTACTCAGTTCGTGATGATCCGTTTATTCCGCTTTTGTTTTTACTTCCACGTTTGCATTATATTTATAATTTTGTTTTCTTTTACGGCTATCCTGTTGTCTATTCTCTTCGACACGATAATCGTTATTGTTGCGTTGTTACGTGGGCACGTTCCGCGTGTTGTGCGGATATACTGTGTACGCGGACATCCGGGCGTCTGGCGTGTAGGATGCGCTGGCTAACGAACTTCGGATTTCTCGAAATATTGTTTTAGGTAACGTGAAAGCAACCATTCCGTTATAGTTAACCGTTTCCGTTTTTTTTTTTTTTTTTATCAATGTTGTCGCCGCCGGTTTAATAACGTTTTTCGGTGGATCAGGGTGGGTGTAAGTACACACTTATTACTTAATTATTCGATATCACTGCAACAGATATACTATATGACTAGAATAACGGTCGTTAGACGCCGACGTTCCATTAATATCATTATTTCATTTGGTGGATCCGATCGAACGAACGTTTTAATTCAGATGAATGCTCGAGAAAAATAAAACATAAAAAGACGCGCAGTCGATTTCTTAGGAATATTACGGCTCGTGGGTAGCACGTAAAAATTCTTATTTAATTTATTCGAAATATCTCAGTAATGTGCGTCATAATACGAAATATTATATTAACGATTATTTTGTTTGAAAAATATTACGACTGCCATGTTATATTATATTTGTCGTGTTCGCTAAAAGTATATTGTTACGCAATACCGATTCCCGTTATTCAATAGCGTTAATATAATTAATTTGTTTCAGGTCGATTTGTTTTGATAATAATACCCGTCTTCGACATGTCGAACGTAGCGTTTTATTTCGTATGGAATATTATAATATTAACTGTTTCGGTAGGCACGTACCGCAGCGTTTATCGTCGCGTGATACACGTCCAATCACGTTTTTCCCGTGAAAAACGTGCCTCACGTTTATCGTTTTTCCGATTCAGACATTGTGCACACCCTCCGAACCCACCTACGGTTATAGGTCCGATCGTTGGGTCCCGCAGCAGTGGCGGGGTACGGATGGGAACGTTACAGCGATACCGATGGCCGCGAACGCGAAATTCTTTTCAGGGGTGGATGTCCTTATAAAACGTCGTCACGGTCAAGGTGAATGAGATATAAGAGCATAATGATTTTATCGTCTATTATTTTAATATCATTATGAACAGGTTAAACAACCGCGACCAAATTTCGGAATCTATGTGGAAAGTATTGATTACGTCATTTACATATGATTTTAAATGCATTCGTCGTTTTGTCGATAGTCCTTCCGTTATTCAAATATTAAACACCTGAGAACTAAACATACGTTTATATTATATAACCACTAGGAATACACTTTTTTTCGCAATCGACTATTTATTATTCTCAACTGCTGCGCCCACGACTGTGATATTAAAAAACTAATGATCGGATCCAGGTCCCGGCTGATTATTGTTTGAAACAAAAGTGAAACGATGGGGCGCTGTAGAGAACCACGCAAACTGCAGTAACGGCAATGTGCAAAAATTTAACGCGAGCGCATTGCATAATAATATATATTTTAGATTTCGCTTTTGGTGACTCACAGCATACGTGCACGCATAACACGCCGCGCGTAGGCAGTGGATGGCGCAAACGAATGACGATTGTATTCGCAAATGCCGCGGCGACGCTAAAATATTATTCCCTCGACCTCGTTCGTACGCACGGAGACGGCGGGCGATTAGTCGTTACGTGATATTATTATAATGACGTTTGACAAAAGACGCGATGGAGAAAAAAAATTAGCAAACCATTGTTTTCGCGTCCTCATCGACGCGCTCGATTATCCTACGCCTCTTCCACGGCCCTTATTTGCGTATGATTTCGTGTCGATCATTATTGAATATTTTTACTTATTTTTTTTTATTTTTTTTTTTTTCACGATGACGGTACCCGCGCGGGATCCACGTCGTCGTCGACTATCGTCTCGTCTTCTTCTGGCTGCCGATGGCATAACACAGTATATTATCGGCTCAAGGTCGTCGGTGATTCGTGGCATTGAGCAAACAGTATGCGTGTGCGTGCACGTGAGTGTGGGAACGGTGATGGTGGCAGAAAAAAATCGAATCTGTTCATTACGCGGTGGGCAGCCGAAAGTGAAAGCGTTTCGGACTCCGTCTTCGCCACAGCCGCCACGTTCGCTTTCTCTTTGTTTGACGGCACAACAATATTATAAATCATAATAATACACACATACACACGCGTACATTTAAATAGCTGTTCGCCTACTGTTGCACGTGAACGCGTGATCGGAATGAAAACGAATACGTCGGACGACGACGACGACGACGAACGACAATAAGCGTTTTATTTTTTTTAACCGTCCGTCCGTGCCCACTCGACCTGCACTTAAGACTCGCGCGTTTTCGTCCAGGAAACACAACACCGACAACGATTTAATAATAATAGTTTATCAAAACGTATCGCAATCGCGGCCGCCGACCGGAATATCATATTTTGTACTTGCCTACCTGTCGATCGTGCGCAATGTCGTTATGAAATATCTTTCGATTCAACACGTAACACGTTATATTATTCAATATTACGATCAAACACCTATATAATGATATTATATATGCGTTATATTCAACACACTGCATGTCGCTAAACCGATGGTTTTGTAATTTAGTCTATTTTATAAATTTTCACGTTTAACAATAGACACGTTCGGTCTAGTTCTGTCGTTACAAGTATTACAATATAATAATGTGCGAGAGGAATAAAAATGTTTTTCAATACACGTAGATTTTAGTTATATAGCATTATTTATTTGAATAAAAATAAAAATAATTCCCTACCACTACACTGTAAAATATACAAAGGTGTATACTGGATTTAAAATTAGTTTTTTTATTGCTCTTTAAAAATGCGTGCTGCTGTGCATTTATAAAACAAGTTTACCTCCACAGTATAGCTATTCTTTATAGTCAATACGTCTATATTCACAGCACAAGTGCCCATATTATGTTTCTACATGGGTATTAGTTTATAACAATACGATTGATTAACGAAATAATATCTCGAGTTTCAATTCATTGGCCCGGCGTCTAGCTTATGCAATTTTAATACATCAACGCGTATAGTTCAATGATGGGGAAATGTATTTACCTATATTAATTTTAGATCATAATTAAATGTAATAGTAATAATACGGCAACATTCAAAATCAATTTCAATCAATTTTTTTTTCAGTCGCATCATGAAATTTTTATTTACGGGCTCGTTTCTGTTCGTCACGTTTGTGGCGATCACGACCGCTGAAGAATGGTCATGGAGCAAAGATAAGACCCAAACCCCTACCAAACCAGCTGCGGACGTTGCTACTGACCGCGAGAGCAAATCGATAGACTCCTATTCGGATATCAACGACGATGGCAGCCAAGAGAACGGCGCTCCGGTGGCCGGCCTGTCTGCCAACGGATCGGACACGCATCCCAGACACCTCATCAGAGACAGGCTCTGCGGCTTGGGTCTCATGGAGGTAATATTATGAACAATACCGTTGTAATGACGTTATAACATGCTCATAGTGCGATCGAATATGTTGATAAAAAAAAAAAATGCATTTAAAATTGTACTCGAGAACGAGAATACAAAAAAAAAAATTTATCTATATATTTCGGGACGATCGGCGGCTCTGTGTCTCCCACGTGTTAGTAGATCGCAAACAAGAAGTACGTCCGTATTTCTCTTTCGTGACGATTAACGTGCTTGCACATTTTCCGACACGACATACTCAAGCGGGTTTGTTTTTTTTTTCCTTAGTGCGAAGACGAAGAACTAGTAGAACCGAAACGCTACATCGGGCCGCAGGATTTGATTTACGCGCAGCCCGTGTCGCTGAAACCGGTCGGCCGTCCCATCGCGGCCATACCGGTCAAGTCGACGGGATCTCAGGTGCCATCCGTGGGGTACGGTGCACCGCGTCCCGTCCCGTACCCGTCCGGTGGCTCATCATTCGGCAGCGGCGGCCCGTCATATGGCAACGGTGGCCTACCATACGGCAACGGTGGCCCACCATCGTTCGGCAACGGCCCGCCCATTCGCAACAGGCCCGGACCGATATACGGTAACCGGCCGCCACAGGTTTTCGAATCCGAAGCCGCGGAGTCGTATAGGCCCAAGCAACCGATCATCTCCGGTCCCGTACCGTCCGTCGCTCTGCCCGCCGGTGGCTTGCAGCAACACGTGCATCACCATTATCACCACGGTGACGGTGGTGTGGACGGCATCAAGGCCGCGTCCTCCGCGGTCGAACCCGGTTTCAGTCCGCTCAGCGGCCCGTTATACAGCGGTGGTGGCGGCGACGGATTGTCATCCCTGTATGGCCAAGGCAATCTGAACAGCTACGGTGGCAACTTTGAGAACTACGAGACCCCCGGCGGTCCGCTGTACAAGAAACAACTCAACTTGAAAGCACCGTCAAGTAAGTACTTCGACAGTCGTTAAACTCTTTTCGGGGAGCTCGTTGGCTACCTCGTTTCACGCCGTGTATACGTACGTTAACTATATTATGTACCGGTATAAATACGAACGCTTGTACCGCCCGTACAGATTCCTTGACCGGTCCATACGCGGGCGAGCGATACCCGTCTTACGAGACGCCTAGAGCCGATAACTACGGGTGTTACTGCGTGCCGTACGATCAGTGTTTGCCACACGAAGTGGCCCGAAAAGAGGACGGTATCGCGGGCATTGACCCGAGGAACTTGCAACACGGAAAGACCGACATCGAAGCCATCGGTCTGGATGAAGTGGTCATCACCGACGGGAACGGCACGATCGTGTCGCATCACAAAAAAACCGATGCCGACGATAAGGCCAAGGCGCGCAAACGCAGGGACGCACCACAGAGCAAACAAGACGCCGAACCGGTAAGTAGTGTTCAGGCACGCTCGAAAACGATATCATATGTTTAGTACTGAAATGTGTATGTACGTACGGGCTAAGAAAAACGCGAACATCGGATTTGTGACGGGAAGAATGTACGTTTACGTCACGGACAATGCAACGATTAAAGATCGATGATTCGGTTCGATGAGAATAAGACTTGATCTTTAATCGTCGAGCTGTTGTCGTACGTCACGCGAACTGCGCCCGCTGCAAATCTTGCGTTTCAAATTTTCCAAGCCGAACGTCATAATATTTTAATATTTTATATTATTAAGCACAAATCGTTCGTCTTCAGTATAGCGTATACACACGTATCTTCGTGTTGTCCGACTAATGCGCACGAAACGAACTCACTGACTACTATATAGAAATTATAAAACCGAATTACTCTTGTGTAGGAAAAATCAACAGCTCATTTATAACAGCCTGCGCGTACTGCAGTTGACTAAACCATACAATGTTAAAACCTATAACGTTTATAACTGAACTTTTTAGCGATACCTCGATAGACCTACAGTGGACGACTTAGCCAGCAACGGATATAACGTGGAGATACCATATGACGACGATCAGACCGATGGCGTAAGTGCAATTTAATTCATGCACGCCAAAAACTAATACACACACACGCAAACACATAAGTACGCGCAAAACCAAGTAGCACATAATGTAATACTTATAATGTCTGCAACACTCTTTGCGTCGTGGTTACTGGAGATTTGGGTGACGTTCCTACGCAGTCGTTATAATATAATTTATAGTGCCTCCTGGGGGTATATAACTTTTTTTTCTTTTATTCTTCGTTCAAATCCATTTCAATCGTATAATCCTTGACATGAATTCGTATACAGATGATTTCCCATATGACTGTCATCATTGACGATTAAAAACCTTAAGTTTGTAATTATTCATGATAAATTATCACAAATATTAAAAAAAAAATTTTATTTAAATCGGTGAAATTCAAATTTCCAGTTGCCATACGAAAAAAACTAAAACTTTTCACGCTCGACACACTGATCAGGACTTAATACGTTACACGTTAAACTAACGGGTTTACACTTACTTAAAAAAATAAAAGGAAGAAACAAGTTAAAAATCGCCAACTATACGTATCCACATTAGTAGCGGTAGACCGTAGACTCAGAAAAAAGGAAAAGAAAACGTTGAAAAAAAATACTTCCGTTCGGAAGCGTTGTGAAACGCGGAGTAAACATAAAGAATACGAAAACTCTTTTTCCTTATGCTGTCTGCGCCCGATCCGACTAAACAGCACTATCACAGTTCATAATATTTCCCTAGAATAATATAATATTTTTAAATATTTTCCACATCGGAACACTAAAACAACCATCAAATAATTACTTGACAACTTCTCCGATAATAGTCAAAATATTAATTGTCATTCAAATGAATATTAATATTATTTTGAAAATCGTTTATTTTCTAACATCTGCGTGTTTTACATTTAATTTATCTTCTAGCCTTAACTATCTCCATCTATCTGAACCAATTTCTAATGTAAAAATATTAAATGAAAACTACTTGTATTTTGACGAGGAAAATATGTAACACACGTTTATGGCCAAAAGAAAGAGTGAACGTGTCTGCCGAGCGTTATTATGCTAATATAGTATGACGTAATATGCATAATGTGCATATATACATTCTATTTTACGTTTTATTTCGTCAAATTTCACTGAAACTACTGACAAATAATTTATCACTTAATAATTGAATATGATATTAAAATCTGTCATTGATCAATAAATTTCTGAAACAACCAAAAAAAAAAAAAAAATTATTTCGTTGACAAACATAATAGATACTTTTTGAATTTTTCAAATATAAACGATAACAAAATTGGCACACTCAAATATACATTTGTTTACAATAGAAATTGAAATAATAACAATTTTCATATAATTTCATTCAAATACTTTCATTATCTAACACAATATAATATTAATGCCATCGAAGTTCAAAACGATAACGAATTTATTCATAAAATTATAATGTAATCACGTGGTATTGTGTATACGTGTAGTACTCGTCTGAAAAAAAAAAAACGATCCCGTGTTTTAATAATGACAAGCGCAGAAGAATAGGTTTGATTGGGTGGTTTGTATATGTGTTTACAGCGAAAATTCGGGGGTCTACTCGGGGGCAGTTCAGGAGGTGGCGGAGCTGTGAACGAGGACTCTGACGACACAGGGAGTTCCGGCGTTAAAGTTCGGCCCACGTTCGGAGTATCTTTTGGACTACCTTCCGGCGGCGGCGGTTCATATCCCATCAGCCCCTACGGTCCTAACCCATCGGTGAACCCGTATGGAAACTCGTTGGGGGGTGGTAACGGTCTGAACCTGGGCTTGGTCAGTGTCAACCCGTTGTTGTCGCTGCAGGTCAGCAAAGACGAGTACGGTGAAAAAATCGTTAAGCCCTGGGTGAATTTGCACGTGACGCCAAACGCAGGCCTGGTACATAAGGTTGGCGACATCGTACATAAGCTTAAGTCGCCTCACTATGGCCACGGTTACGGTTACGGCCACGAATATCCACCCTCTTACCTTCACCAGCACAACCACTACCACGTGCAACCACCGCCTCCACCACCGCCTTATCACTACAGCAGCCCTTCGTTTTACGGCTCGTCTAAACCATTTTACCACTCGAAACCACCGTCGTTCGGTGGCGGTTACGGTGGCGGTTACGCCGGAGGTTATGAAAGTGGTGGTTATGGTGGTGGTTACAACAGCGGTAGCTATGCACCCGAGTATCACTCGTACAGGGATGACGAATACGATGACCATGGTGGTTATGGAGTAGCGGGCCCTGGCGATTATTACGGTCAATCCGATGATTACGATTCCGGTGGCTCGTTCTACAGAAGCTCCAACATAACCGCCGCTGGGGGTAGTGGTAGCGGCAGTGACCGTGGTAACGGTGGAAATGATTACGACCATAATGAGCCGTCGTCATACGGCACGGGTAGTCCGAAAGTAGCTTTCCCCAACGACCGTCAGTCCACGGGGTCCGTTAGATTCGTAGGCGGCCAACGGCACAAAAGAGATGTAGACGAGGTGAGATAGTCAAAACGTAATACCAACTGGTCGCCTTCTTACTGGACACTAACACCACGGTGCGCACATAAGCGATGTTAATATATTAATACCGCATAATAATATGTTATTTACGTGTTCCAATCGTCTCGGTGGACGAAACCAAGTCAAATGGAGTGTACGAGATAAAACAAAGTTTACTTACACGTCTGAGCTTCTGTATTATATATACATTAAATACGAAGCAATGATTTTCTAAAACCGAAAACGGTTTCGGGCTTATACTTAATCATATTATAATATGTACAATCGAGCGACATCTATTTGACTTCGCTCTACACCCTGTATAACACTATAAATTATACTAATACCATTAAGCACTAGATGTTTGGAACGATTTTCACAAGACCGTCTGATTCATAATTATAGCACGACATGACAAATATAACACATTCTAGCTTTACGTAAATCTTTTTCTTCGCCCTAGACCACTTAAATGTACGTGGAGTCGGCTATATCTGTCCTTTATCTCCATTATGATTCATCTTCCCTCCCCTTCTCCTTGCTCAACTATTCTCATAGCACACTCAATTTCATCCTATATTATATATATTATTATATCCTAACTTTATGAATATATTTAGTTTATACGTTCCGTAAACGCTTTGTATTGTTCACGGATAACGTGAAAACGATTTGTTTTTGTCTTAACACAATAAACTACGTCAATAACATCACAGGTAAATCGATAACCATTAACAAAATGTGAGTGTACGATATATGTATATAACGACCGGCTAATAGGAAATACTCTGTACAAAATGGACCTTAACGTCCGAGTACAACTAACCGTACACACTCGCTTAATTCTCGTGATGCTACTTGGTTAGGAAGCGTGCTTTATTCACAGCCGAAAATCACATATACTTAACACACTATAAATATATATATATATATATTTATATACACACAAAAACAACACTGTACTAACCGTTTTAGACATACGACAATTGTCTTTGAGCAAAAATCATTTTGTAACAATAATAATAACATAATCACAATAATTTGCAATCGGAATTAAAAGGATTAACGTGAAATGTTTATGTACATGATATAGCGCCAGTCATTTTACTCGGCCAGTGGTCGTTGTGGTCCCAGGCAAGTGTGTTGCAGGCGACCACCGGTGGCACCCGGCCACTTAGGCTCGTCGTCCAACTACGTCAGCAACGGACAGTGCGGCAAAAGGAACACACATGGCATCACTGGAAGGATCAAGACACCGGCATACGTGGATGGAGACAGTGAATTCGGTAAGAATTACGAGAATATACCATGTTAACAGGGTAGGATAAACATTCAATACACGTATTCAAAACAACAAATCATTTACACGAATACCAATATACTTAAATGGATTTCTTCCTCTCGCAGGTGAATACCCTTGGCAAGTAGCTATTCTCAAGAAAGACCCTCAAGAGAGCGTATACGTTTGCGGTGGAACTCTGATTGATTCACTGCACGTGCTTACGGCCGCTCATTGCGTGAAAACGTAAGTAAAACTACAATGATCAGTTAAAAAAAAAATTTCTTGACCTATGTTCTCAATCCCATCATAGTGAAAACCCAATTTGATGTTTTGCTATTATACCATAGGTACCATGAACAAGATTTGCGCGTCCGCTTGGGCGAATGGGACGTAAACCATGACGTGGAATTCTATCCATACGTGGAAACGGACGTGGTCAGCATGGTCATACACAGGGAGTTCTACGCCGGCACGTTATATAACGACTTGGCCATACTCCGTATGGACAAACCCGTCGACTTTGCCCGCAACCCACATATTAGCCCAGCTTGCTTACCGGATGCATTCTCCGATTTTACCGGTCAACGGTGTTGGACAACCGGTTGGGGCAAGGATGCGTTCGGCGATTATGGGAAATACCAAAACATCCTTAAGGTGATTTTATTTTCGAAACCCATTTATATCCGTGGTCCTACACATCTTACACATTCAATTTAACTATGTATTTGAGTATAATTTTAAGTTAAGGACAATGAATGAACTTTCAATTACTTTTGGAAAGAAATTTATCGTGAAAGCAAATGGCTAAACTATTCTACGAATAAACCATTTATTATTTTTATTTTAATAATTCATTAATTTCATTAATATTTTATTGACATAAATTAATTCAAAATGTATTCTAAACAACAGGTTCAAATACTATGAATGAAAGTGTTACAATAAAATAAAAGAAATCCGTACAAATTACATCAAGAATAAAATAATTAACTACAGAAAAATCTATATTAAAATTATAAACTTAAATTAAACTCATTGATTTTTTGGCTAGTTTTCCATGATATTATTATTTTAGATTATAATCATCATACATAATATTATAAATAGGGTCATGATATTATTGTTGACAATTATAGAAAAATATTAATAATTTCAAATTAAAAAAATAACAGAACTTAGAAAACATGATTTACAGTTCTATAATAATAAATTAGAAAATATTCTGTTCAAACCCTGATTTTAAATTAAAACAGAGAAATGTTATTATTATTAACTGATTTCAACAATTATTTCTTTTCAATTTCACGCATCGTTTACTATAAAATATTATTATGCATAATAATATATCTTATTTGCATTTAAAATTACGTTGAAATGAAAAAAATTATATTGATTAACCAATGTTTTTTTCTTTTGAAAAATTCTCAGGAAGTGGACGTTCCGGTAATTTCTAATCGCCAATGCGAAACACAATTACAACAAACCCGTCTTGGCTATGACTTCAAGTTGCACAACGGTTTCTTGTGCGCCGGTGGTGAAGAAGGAAAAGACGCTTGCAAGGTACGTTAGAACAGACGCATGGTTTAATAATATCATAATGAATTATCGGTTGTTAAAATTATTGTGTTTTTTCGTGATGACGTTACACCGTAGAGAACTGAAATCTGATCGTTGTTAATGTCATATATGGTGAACATATACCCCCACTTTCAATTAGATGCATTTTCACAGAATTGTTCTTGTTTTTTTTTTTTTTTTTCGAAAATGAAACATTAATATATTACATAACACGCGAACACAAATATTATATAAAATTAACTTTCCGAATACCAATTGCCAACTCGTTCGAATATATATAAAATACAAATATTATTTTATTTAGTACTAAACGTGAGGTGGCTAGAAAACGTCTATCAAACTCATATTATAATATACTGCTAAAACCTCGTTGTACTTATAAAAGTTAACTCAAATTCATAATATTTAGTATCTACGTGCTTTTCAGTTTATTTTCTTCCTATGCGAACTTCGAATACATTTAACTGTTTTAAATAACGGCAGTGATAGTATTATAGAATTTTTCTAATCGGATTTATAAACTCTTAAAAAAAAAATTAATTTTCAAAAATAATTTACTATTACACTCAATTTTTCGAAAAAAGTCCAATCACTCCTTGCGTCCGGATCTCATAATAATATCTCAGTCGTAAAAACTGAATATTTTATCGTTAATTCATGTACAAATTCTAACAAGTCATCTGTAAAATAATTGGGGTAATATAATAATGTTATTCGTGTGTATACAGGGTGACGGTGGCGGTCCACTGGTATGTGAACGCGCCGGTTCGTGGCACTTGGTCGGAATCGTCAGCTGGGGAGTAGGATGCGGTCAGCCCGGCGTGCCCGGGATCTATGTTAAAGTGGCTCACTACCTCGACTGGATCAGACAAATCACTAACAAATACTAGAACGACACCTAACTTTTTTTTTATGTATAATTATTATTTATTTTAAATTTATTTTTACCGTATTTTTTCTACATATGCAAAACCTAATAAAAATATCGTACGCACGCACTACGTTTGAATACCAAAATGCGAGTGAGCGATTATATATACTTATATATATATATATATATATTAGGTATTATAATTAGTAATTATTTATTGTTTGTATGCTGAGAAATTCCAAGTATACACGCAGTGTATATGCATGCATAATCATTCAGTAAGTTTGTTTCGGACGAAATTTGTACTCAACAAGGTTGAGAAGACTGATAGGCTCTTTTAGAATACTAAATCTAAAATACTTAAATTCTCGAAAAATAGAATTCCGTTTTGTTCGAACACTTCGATACTCGTTAGTGTTTCCCTTACAATTTTTTACTATTCTCTTAGATTGTTATTAACAATGATTTTTTCCAAACATAATGTTAATATAATGTCATGACTTCAACATTTAAATCTATGTATAATTATTGTGCCACAGAGGTAGAGTAAGTAATGATATATTTTAGTACTGTATATGTGTACCCTTTTTTGCATTAAAAATCTACCAGCAATGTTATTAAGTTTGCATTTTTTAACGTATAATTATTATTATATATTATGATTGTATAAAGATAATTCATTGTACAACAAATACAAATATGTCACCCATTCCGGTATTTGTAAATAAAAAAACTGTACTTTGTTAAAAATAAGCATATATTCTTTTCTTAACATTTATTCATAATATAACCTTTATAAAATAAAAGTTGTATGATTATCTATAAATATAATAGTGAGTAAGTTTATAATAATGTTCCATTTAAATTATTATAATAGTACTATAAAAACATTTGTGTGGATCTAATAAAAATATATTTTTGTATTTTAAAATTATTTAACTGTTTTACTTTATATGATAATAAAATTTTACATCAGATTATAACATGTGAGATTTCAGTGTTGTAAACAAACCCAATTTTCGATGCTACAAACACAATTAGAAATTTGAAATTCTTCAATAAATACACTTTTCATATCGTATTATAAGTAAATACACTTGAATATGTTTTTAATGGATTTTTAAATGTATGATAGATTGCATGTTTATAATATCAAACACAATTATATATGAAACAAACGAAAACAATTGCTAAAGATAAGCATGGATTATGCTATACAATCTCTGTAATAGGTATTCACTGCCATCAGTCATTAATACGAACGATAAATTTAATTCAAAACAGCTTTTGCAATCCGTGTACCTATGTATCAAATAATATAACGGATCATAAATGCAATCTTTAACTTAAGAAAACAACTGATTTCAATAATCAAGATCATGAACTTAATAAATGTAGACACATTAACTAACCTAACCTAACAACGAAATAATTCTCTTTATTTTCGTTACCTACGCTATTATAATCATGAATTTTTATTCAAAAGTTTGTTTTCATTATTTCATTAATAAAACCCAATAAGTTTACAAAATATTAATAAAAATTATTAGATTATTTTGTTATTTTAATTCGAGGATAAAAATTAACTGGCCAAAAGCTAATGCGACAAAATATATTATCAAGTCCGCACTTCTAAAGTATTTTTTAAACGTGTATAAATATTTTATCACGATCAGTTGACGTCATTAACTGTAAATTGAAGGTTAACCTAGTCTTTCTCTTGGCTAATTGGTTCTTTCAATTCATAACAATGATACTCTTGTATAAGTATAAATAATGTCACTAACAATTATAATGAAAACCAATTTTAAATGTATTATATATATATATATTATGTAATGTATAAAAAATTATTTTTATACATAAATAATTACGTGATGCATGGGCATTAAGTAAAGAGAAAAATCGGGAAAAAAATCAAAAATTATTCGTTAACAATGACCAATATATTAACGTATTGAGGTACAATTAAAAAAAAAACACACAATAGATTAGTCGTGGTGGTAGCAGAGGCCAGATACTATGATGTTGTATAATAAATTGATTACGTTTGAAATATTACTCGTAAAATTGATTTCTTAACTCATTATAAAAACACGAATTATACCTTTTACATAAAGGAAATAAAATGAGAAAAAATTACCATTTTGGAAAATCGATGAAAATTTACTTCTGTATTTTGCTGTTGAAAATGTTATTATTATATATTTTTTCATGGGTACTTGGATCACAACGTACGCAAATCTATATTACACAAATTTAAAACATAAATTGCTATGATTTTTCAACCGAACAACGTAGGAATATACGATAATATGCAAACCACAAACCAAATGTGACACACGTCTACCGTTCACCACTATAAACGACCGCGAATATCGGTCATTATTTATACCAAACGGTCGGGGCATCGCTTAGGTCCAATTCCCGACCTTTATTCGACATCGCCTCGTGTTCAGGAGCTAAGCGTACGGCTCTGGTCAATTCCGGCCCGTAAGTGTCGGCTCGGCCCGGCTCCAGCCTCAGTGCAGACTCGAGCTCGCCCACGGCCAAATGGGCGGTGTTCAGCTCGACCAACGCTTTTCCGCGGTTGTAATAAGCCTCGGCTCGCCAAGATACGTTTGCGTCAACAGCTGGCACCATCAGCTCCAACGCCTAAACATAAATCGAACATTATTTTTCGATTACATTTTCGAATATTTGTCAAAAACTGAACGTAAAAATAAAATAATTTAAACAGTGTTTATATATTTTATTTGCCAAGACTTAAACGACGTACACTCAACAATAATAATACCTTACATTCTGGAATCTCTTTCGTATATATCGTAAAATAACATGCTTCGATGGTAAATCTAAAGCTGAAAATGTATAACATATTTGAGTTGACACATGTAATACGAATGTGATAATTAACCACCGCTTAGACATTTTTCACTAGTACTTATTTTTATTAAGATCCCAAAGCATTCCGAGTAGTTCAAGGTCAAAGACAAAAGTAAAAATATCGGGCTATTTGATCAATCGAAAATTAAATATGCTTATGTCTGTTATGTGGGCCTTGACACCTTTCGTAATAAATTTTACATCAACTTATCTTAAATTAATGATATAGAGATATTTCTTTGTATACATATCTTACTTTTTTTTTAACCTATACATCTATATGGTATGGTTAAATTAACTCGAGACGATAAATCAAATGCATGCACAAACTCGTTAATAGCTAAATAAAAAAATATTAGTATTAAAGACTTACAGTTGACGCATCTTCAAGGGCCTTGTGGTAATTTTTCATTTTAATATGTGCTTTAGATCTATTTAAATACAATATAGCCATTTTGGGACTCAGCTTTATCCCATGAGAATAAGCGGAAACGGCACCAATGTAATTAAATTCCGTCATAAATATACTGTAAAAAAAACATAATCCTGGTTATAAGCATATATCTATCCCATTATGTATGTTCCTAAATTTAAATAGTTAAATAAACATCTTTGTTTTGTTTAATAGAAAAATGTTCACTGTGCATATGAACACAATGATATCCTTAACGACTGTCAAAATATTAAATATGAGTTTTCTTACTCTCCTTTTTGCAAACACCATTCTGGATCATGTTCTTCTGGTCTTAGATCTTCTTCCACGAATCCCGAAGCCCTTCTAGCAGCTGTTTGCTTTTTTAACCACTATATCACAGAAAACCAATCGCAAACGATAATAATAGTAAACCGTTTCAATACAAAGTTAAACGTTTTAGTTTTACCTCCAATTCTTCTGCTTTAGTCGATTCTCTACTTGGAGTAGGAAAATGTCTCGGCGTGAAATTAATTTGAATGGACTTAAATTTTCTAGGAGTTGGTAATTCACTCTCGGCCAGTTCATTTTCAATCTCGTAGATTTTAATAGTTTCATTATTTGAGAATATATCATTGTTCTTATTCGTGTTTTCTTCTATAAAATATTGAAATGCAAACACATTAATTAAACTAAACATATTTCACAAACTTGAATCTCACAAACTTAATCTTATCAAGAATAATATTAAAATTATATATTTTTTATTAGTTCAAAATATACTTTTTGTATTTTCTTTGTGATTAATTATTGGTGTTGATTTCCACGTATACAATTCGTTTAGTACTTTTTTTTTCTCTTCGTCACGAATACTTTGAATAAGTTGATGCTCTTTGTTTTCGTATTTTATTTGTTCCTTAACAGCTAATCGATCTCGTTCAGATCTTGCAACTGATTGTACAATATAAAGATTTCAATATTTATATAACAAATTACACGGATATATTAATAAATTTTGAACAGTAAATTTTCTTAAATATATAAACAAAAATGATTTATCATATATGGAACCATAGAGGTTAACCATATAGTGAATAGTTCAATCGAATGACCTAATTTGTAAGATTAAAGAGATTTCTCGTAGATCGATTGTAGATTGTGTTAATAAAATATTATTGTTAATTGTAATATTAATAATTATCAATTAGTTTTTAAAATACTTCTTTACCAATTTTTTGTTGAGATTTTTTTTTGTCGTTCTTCTATTATCCAATTCAATATCTCACTTTTTAACTTTTTTTAGTTCTTCTTTTGATGTTTGTAATGTCAAATATTCCCAATGTATAATATTTTTTTTAAGAAGCTCAAATAAAACACAACCATCATTAAACATACACTTACTGCGTTCTTCATCAATTTCATCCCAAAGAACAGCTTCGAAAATATGTGATAAACAACTAATCTAATAAACATGTATAATAATATTTTTACGTAAATAATAATATATATAATTGTCCCCATTTTATTTTATTTTTATTAGGTTTATTAGGTCTTATTCAGTATAAACGTTACGCTAACAATTAAAGTTTAAACGGATTTAAATAATAAAAATAGAATATGTACATAATATTATTATCAATATCATTAAACTTACTTTTATATATTTATTAGATGTTAAAATATCCGAATTTTTTTGAGACACGTATGGAATTTGAATTTGTAAAAATACTTTACACTCGATTTGCCACCAAGAAATATCTTTCTCTTTCAATACAATCGGCATGATTTTGAATTAAATTAAAGCGTATTGATTTTCATTAAGAACATACAGCTAAACAAACACAATTCTTTGATGAATAGTAGTACTATAATACTATAACTATTGTTTGTTACCATGGTATTACCGTAATGAATGCAGTAATATAGCTTATAGGTTGACGCCTGATGCATCATATAAAAGAAGGAACACATATAAAAATTACAACATTTTATCACGTTGTTTGGATAATAATTATTATTTCACACATCTTATTATGCTGTTATAATTAGTTTTTTATTCAAAATAAAAAAACACAATGTTTCTTTACAGCAAATAACCTGATTATTTTAACAGAAATTACTAAATTCCATTGGCGTAACCATTTATTTCCAAACGGTTGGTCCAATCAAAATCATGTATTTTACATTTTTCATCATCATATAGGTATTCTATCAAAATAAATTCGAAAAATTCCAATTTAGTTTTTTTAATAATATACAGGCCCATTGAACTTCAATAATATTGGATGTTATAAATTATTGACTATTCTACTAAAAGTACACCATTTGAATCAGTATTGTTAAATTCATTAAAATTCTAATCGTATTATAATAAATAATTTAAATGAAACATAAAAAGTAATTCGATACTATTCAATATGAAATAATTTAAGATTCAAAGTCCACTCCCTTTAGTACGCCACTTTCTAATGCACAAGTATGATACCGCCTTATAACCTAAGATGGTTTAGTTATAGAATTTAACTGTTCACGCCTAATTTAAAGTTATTATTTTAAATAAAAATGTAATTAATTAATTAAAAATAAAAATAAAATTCTCAAATATTTATTTATATGATTTATATTATTTATACAAATTATGTACACCATGAGCAACATAATATAAAATATGAACATAAATTCAACACCAACATCATCATAAAAATAAATAGCAAGAAAATAATAAAGTAAAAAAATGTATTTCTTATATTTAAAAAGGTATTATTATTTTACATTAAAGCACCGTAGACATTTGCATTTATTTTACATCTAACTGTGGTAATTTATAATTTTCTAAAATATCAAAATAAATACTGAATAAATGTTAATCATTTGATATACCAATACAATTAATATATTATAAATATATTTTACACTTAATTTCTGACGATTGTCCTAAAACGTGATAATATTTATTTCACTTATTTTGAGCACGTGACTACGGTTGTCATTGGCCACCACTAGAACACGTGTAAGATATCGCCTTGTGTTTTGCATTCACGTGATACCATTACTGTCGTATCCCACCATGAGTAATATGATACACTTTTATAAGTTAACATAATTTTTTGTAAGGTAAACCTACATTTCTGGAATAGCCCAGGAGCGGAAAATACATTTTCATATCAACAAATTATATTCGTATTAGAAAATGTATAAACAACGCCTTATTCTAGACTTGGTGGACAATTTAATTGCTTATGTGAAAAAAATTTAATATATTTTATGGCAAATTTCATATCATCGAGATCAGCTTAGAAAAAAATGTTATAACTATTTGGCAATAAATAATCACAAAATTACAATATTATTAGATAATAGATACTACTAATGTTTAAACTAAAAATCGGTAATAAATTACAGTTTATTTTACAAGCATTATACAACATTTATCATTCAGTAAGATATTTAGTCTAATCAATGTATAAAAAATGTATGAATTAAAAAAAATAAATGATCTACTCGTATGTAGTAAAACAAATTAATAAGCTAGTTAATTCCATAAATGATAATACTGTTATAATATTAAATAATAACATTCATATGCATTAAGTTTTAAAATATATTAACTTTTGATATGACTACATAGACTGTTATTTAATCGTTTCGAAGTAATTCACAATTAAACTTGCACGTGTTTAAGAATATAATTTCAACTTAATTTAACGTTTTTATTTATTTATTGTAAATGGGTAAAGCTGGTCTTAACTTAAAAAAATATCAAATGTATAAGTTAAAAGTAAAAAAAGAGCAATATTAAGAAAGAAAACAAATGATAATTATTTATGACGTTGACAATAACAATAAATAAATAAATTTGCTTTTTTTATTATTCCGCAAAACCAAATTCCGACATTAGTACTTATGGGGTTAACAAATCAACAGCATATTTTGCAGTTCCGGGCGCTAATGTTACTCCATATCCTCCGTGACCGTAATTGTGAACAATCTAAACAAATAAATAATTTACCCATATAATTATTATAAGTTAATGAATCATATAATGTTTAAACTTCACGGTTGTTTATCAAAAATGAAATAAAAAATAATCAATTTTGAAATAAATGTGCTTTATGCTTACTACAGTGTTATTTATTTGTTCCATTTCTATTCGAATTTTGTTTCGATAAGGCCTAAGACCGACCCAAATTTCATAGTCCATTTTCAGCGCGTTTTTTAATGACGGTATCAGATTAACACATTTTTCCAGTATTTCCTCTGTATTGCGTTCATTCACACTTTCTTCATAACTGCCAAAGTGTCTACATCCGCCAAGTACAACAGTTCCGTCATCTTTTGACGGAATAATGTATGTGTCGGAATCGTAATAATAAAAATTTTTTATCCACGGAGCCTTAACCTACAACATAATTACTGTATTAATTCTATATAATTATTAAATCATATTAGATAAATTAAAAATAATTTAAATATATGTGTATGTATATATGTATATATATACTTCCGGAAAACCTGTATATTTATTGTATAAATTTACTATTTTTTTAATTGCCTGAATTTCATAATTTCATAACTAGTCAATACTATAATACTAAACGTTGTACAGTAAAATAATTTTACCCGAATAACTTGTCCTCGAATAGGTATCACATTTACATCGCTACATAACTGTTTTGCTTCAAACCCGGTACAGTTAAAAATAACATCATATTCTCCGTAGAGTTCTTCGAGTGATTCAATTCTTCGTTTAATAATAATCCCACCACTATCACTAATCCTAAAAACATTCCGATCGTGATTAACTTTATATTAGAATAATGTTTTTCCGAATTAAATATTATTTATTATATTAATATGAATATTCGATTTTTGTAATAAACACCAAAGACCTGAAATCCCTTAAATGCCCTTTATATTTATATCTGTATGTGTGTGGGTGTGCGTTTTTATATGTATCGCATAATACATACACTCGACACTCGCGTAATCAAGACTACTTTGTATTTAATTAAATACAACCAATCTCAATGTCTGAATTATCTCCACTCAGCTGTATTATTAAACGATTTTACATTATGTAAAAACGCAATCCTGTTACTATTTACTAGGTACCTTAAAATAGCTAAAATAATTCAACTTAAAAATCTATATAAATAATAAAATATGCAATGAAATTAATATACGCATAAAATATTACGATGAAAACTATATATTAATTTATACTTGTCGCAAACGCACTTTTTTAAAGCCCATGGTAAAAACCGTTTACATTCAATAACCATTGATGTATAAAAAATTCCATATTTGGTTAAGACATTATTATCAGGTGAGTAATGCGCTTGAAGTTCTTCATGGGTAGCATCCCTATAGTCCGATATACAATTTTCCAAGTAATGATTCTAAAAACCATAAACACTGATATTTATACAAGTTTTAATATACTCATATTCATTATACATAAAATAAATTCATTTATATTCGAGCATAGTCTTATAGATACTTTATATTTTAATAATCATATAATTATATAACTATATAATTAAGTAATCTGGTTGATAAATGATGATATAATCTAACTATAAATCTAACTCATCTATATAATGTGTGATCGTATCAATCAATCAATAAATAATAATTATATTTTACTTTGACAAACTCGGGGCCTCTTGAAGAAAACATGAAGCCAGATACTTCATTTATGCCACACCGTTCATCCTTCTTATTTAATAAGTTTTTGTAAAAACTATATGAGTCGTTAACCCACTGCCTAAAAAAAAAAATTCCAACAGACTAATTGATTTATCAATCAGATAGCTTACAATAAAATAAACAAAATATATTTAAAATAATGAAATATCATAAAATTATTAATAATATGCAACATTTTCATTTAAAATTCAAATACCATTCGCTCACTCAATCATTCACTGATCAACGTACAGCCAGAACTACCATACCGATTTGTTTGAAATATTGAAAGAACGTAATTATTATTATTTATAGATAAAATAAAAAATGATTTTTCAAAAATTGCATTTTTAGGGTTAAACCCTTTTGGAATGTATATATTTTTCAGTTTTTAGTTACCCTGGAAGTATTTTATTTTTTTTAATTAGTTAATTTTAATAAGAACCAGTTGAGATATATGTAAATGAATATAGTAAAAATAAATAAATATAATTTGGATATATGGTGCTATTCTTTTTTATGGCTTTAGCTTTTTTCAACTTATTTAATTTTTCATTCAAATAATAATTGCTCATATCTAAAATAATACAATACCTTCCGAGCGAGGGCAACTAAGCTATTATTTACTTATACAATAAAAAACCTAAAAATATTACACTGTCGAGTTAATGGTATTTTTTTTCTTCTATTAACAATAGATATAACATATAGTATAACACAAATATTTAAACTTCAATAATTATGATAGCGAGTAACACCGAACGGGAAAAAATACTTGGAGCAAGCCCTGTTTCACGTGGTTACCGATCTCTTAATCAGGGGTGTATATAGACTTACTTCTAGGGGGGGGGGGCGACTCAAATTATTTCTTTAATTTAGGCTCAAAATGTACAAGTAAAATTTTTGTTAATATTTAAATCAGGTGAATCCTTAATATTTGTGGTTTTTTTTTTTTTTAAACTAATGCCGGATGCACTTAGAATCGACATTTGTGTAGTTCTTTTTTAACACCTGTCTGTGTTTTGAAAGTTACGCTTGTTTTTTATTTAATTTTTCACTAAGTATGGACACTAAGTATCGTTATAAAATGATCCACATTAAAAAAAATTGAAGTGTGTACCTCCCATATGATCGATTCCTTAAATACGGGTTCAGAGGTGCGATCGCTCCCTTTTCCCCTCTGAAATACGCCCCTGCTCTAAATGCAATTGAACTTACTGCGACACTTCGCGGTTGGGACCAAAAATGTACGAATCCGGTCGCAACAGTCCGGCGGCTCCGTCGCTGAGTGTCTCTCCGTTGAACTTGTGCGCGATCACGGCCACGTTTGCGTCCGGAAATCTCCTTTGCACCTCCAGCGCCAAGTTCAATCCGACAACACCAGCTCCGACCACGGCCACCCTCTTACGACGCTCCGATGTCATCGCCATCCGTCGTGGTGCCTTATTGATAATGTTGTTGGACGAGTAAGAAGATTATGAAATATGAATTTATATTATGTTTGATGAAAACTCACGCACTGCAGTATTAACACGTCGTACTTGTACCGTTGTATTTTATCAAGAAATAATTACAATGTCGTCTACCCGTCGAATAAAAAAAATAAAAATAAAAAAAATGTTTAATAAACTATATGATTTATACGTTGTTCTAACCGCACACACTTATTTACAGTAATTGATTGTGATTAACAATATCAAACTAACAGTCTAATAATGATCTCGTCTATCAGAAATATTAAAGTACAATTATACGCATACAGCGATTATAACACTCATATTTTGCGTAATTATAACAATAATAATAGTGTTATAATTTATGTTTACGTTCCTAAGTTAAGAATAATATAATAATTCTTATGATATTCACAGATTAAATAATCACATTATATCATTAAGTACTATTAAGTACTAGTGGCGCAATCAGAGTAGACTTGAGGAACTAAGCCCCCCTCCCTATTGAGATTTAAGTCACCTCAAATTATAACAGTTAATTATATCCAGCTAAATTGTAATTGATGTTTATTTTATTTATACAATTCTCTAACGAAGTAACATAAGAAAATATTTGGAAATATTTAGTAAAAATGATTTTAAAAAGTACTTAATATTGTACAGTTTTGCCATAAACATTTAAAATTATTATGAATGTCAAGACGTCAACCGTGTCCATGTGTTACATTTCATATTTGAATTGAACCTGTAATTTATAATGATATGACGTGTTGTCCTCGGGTACATTCATAAACTACACGGAAGTTGGTGATGAACTTCACCTCGATTAATGGAAAAATCTTCATTCTCAAACTTGGAAATTTTTAGCATCGCAATATATATATAACTAATATGTACTATAAAAAAATAATTAACCAAATTTGCCAATATTGAAAGAAAAATCAGTTTAAAACTGTAAAATATTTGTTATTTGTTTGTACTCATTAAAAAATATATTTTCGCCCATTACATAGGTAATTTATAAATGTTTGTAATTATATTCCTTATATACCGCATAGTATCAGTATTTGTTATACATTGACTTATCGAGCGACAAATTTTCTAACTTTTATCTATTGTAAATACATAAACAGTTCTAAAAATCTTTAAGCCCTTTGAAGCGGTGCGCTTCTGATAAAGCGTGATTCGATCAAACTTTCATGGTATTTTCGTTTAGCGTTGTTTGACATTTCATCATGGAAAGACTTATCCTGACACAGCGTCTACAAATTGTTCAACTATATTGCGAAAATCAACGTTCTACGAGAATTATTTTTCGTAAGCTTAGAGAAATGTATGGTCCACATAATCGACCTACCGAACGCACAGTTTCACAGTACAATTGTGAAATTTGAAACCCAATTTTCATTGTTGGATAACATACGACCAAATAGGCCTCATCCACCACGCAGCGAAGAAGGTGGTAGAGTATGCGATGACTGAGATGAATCAATTCGACGCCGTTCTCAATAGCTTGGCTTGTCGTATGCAACACATTGACGTATTTTACACGCGGACCTTGGTTCATAAGCATAAAAATTCAACTCGTGCAAGCCGGCTGCCCTTCCGAGTCGTCACCATTTTAGTGTATGGACTCTTAAAAAGTTTGAAGAAGATCCACTGTTTTCGAACAAAATTTTGTTCAGCGATAAGGCCTATTTTTGACCTAATGACAATAAGTTTCGGATGAAGTGCAACCAGGAAAATGTTTTCCTTTGAAGACATGTAAAGTCCAAAGTTTGCATAACCAACAAGACTACGATAAATGTATGGAAGACAACATCACAAACTTCATTAGTCAAATTTCAATCGAAATACTTGAACGTATCATTGAAAATTGGATTTTGAATGAACCTTGTCAACCAAAGTTTATAATATTTAAAAAATAAATGTAAATAATAGTTTTTTCTATAAAAATAAACATAACCTAATAAAATCGATTTTATTATTTTTTTTACTTTTGAAAAAAATGCCTCTAAATAAATCAACTTTTATAATAAGTAGGTATATTCTTATTCTTAAAAGTATGGACTAAAACTATAAAATAATTTCGGGCCGGTGAGTAATTACTACGGTGTCTGTTGTAATAGTGTTTGTAGTCTTCCGTGGTATTTACAATGCGGTAAAATAAACATTTTGAAAGTACGTCAGAGAAAAAATTAAGTGTGGCGACCCTGTATAATATACTGTTCAGTATTTATCATAGAGTAACGGTCTATCTATATTACTCTATTTACCCAACAAATGATCAAACAAAGTTATTATCACGGAGTGCCGGATTGGGCGATTCGTGATTGTGTGAATCAATATTTCAAATTCGTTCGTTCGGTTTTATAAAAAAATTTGTTTCGTTTTACTACGCTACTGATCCAGGGACAAATAATCACCGGCTTTATAATTTGCCAATCATCAAATCGTCTGATTAACGACTTACCACAACAATGGCCGACCAAAACATCTTGGACAAATCCATGAGAAGTGTTTTCGGTACGTTTTGAACTATTGTTATTAATTTGCATATGAGGGCCATACGCTCTTACTTGTTTACTAATTCTTCACATTTACACAGTGGGAAACATCCCTTACGAGGCCACTGAAGAAAAACTAAAAGACATTTTCAATGAAGTAGGACCTGTCATATCATTCAAGTACATTTAGTGTATAATGTATTTACTTATCGTGACTAATGATTTTCAACCAATCTCTTTTTGTAGATTGGTGTATGACAGAGAAACAGGAAAACCTAAAGGTTATGGCTTCTGTGAGTACAAAGATCAAGAGACTGCACTCAGTGCTATGCGTAATCTCAACGGATATGAAATTGGTGGACGAACTCTACGCGTTGACAATGCATGTACAGAAAAGTCTAGACTCGAAATGCAATGTAACTAATATATTATAAATATAAATAATTATATATTGAACAATTTTATATCTACTTACATATCTTAGCTTTAATGGTGGGAATGCCCACTTCGGAAAATCAGTATGGTGAAGCTGTAAGTGCCGAAAAAGCACCAGAAGCTATAAGCACTGCTGTTGCATCTTTACCGCCTGAGCAAATGTATGAACTTATGAAACAAATGAAAACATGCATTCAGGTAGATATATCAAATATTTAGTCATTATTATATATTATTAAAAATATTTGAATAAATATTTAATATCATTAACTTTTTACTATATATTGTAGAATAACCCAACTGAAGCTCGAAACATGTTACTGCAGAATCCTCAACTTGGATATGCATTATTACAAGCACAAATCATTATGAAAATAGTAGATCCACAAGTTGCTGCTGTAAGACAACAAAAAATATTGCATAAATAAACTAGAAATAAGAGTCTTTGATTATTGTGTCAAACTTCCCTTAATATATCACAAGATTAATTTTTAATATAATTTATAAATTTGTGAAATTACTTGACAGAGTATGTTACAAGCTACAAATCAAGTTCCAACTACAACAGTTTCCAATCCTGTTGCTACAACCACAACAGTCATTAACCCAATGACTCAAATTCCTGCCAACGATAGTAATACATGGGTACAAGCAAATCCTATAGTTACTCCAATAGTCCAACCTCAAGGTAAAACATTTATTTTTTTTATTTTATAATAAATAAATTACTAAGCAATTTTTATTTTCAATACTTTAGTCGAAGATATGGATTTGCGGCAAATCAACCATGTGCGTGTTATGGACCAAGATTTAAGGCAGGCTCCAATACAAATCCCAATTCCTCAACCATTATCGTCAGTTCCAGTTGAACCTTCTATTCCACAGCAATTACCGTATAAATTACATTTAAATATAATCTTTTATTAATGTTGTTTATTGAAATATGATTTTCATAGGGCATCGAGAGATCCTCGTGCACCAGTAGCAATGGACTCAGATATTCGAACTTTCACTATTAGAGATCCAAGAGCTAGCAGCAATAATGTAGCAGCATCATTGTCAACAACAACAGTAACAGTTGCAACAACAGCAACTCCACCTCAGATACCTCCTCCAGCAGTTCAGCAGCCTGCTAGACCACAAGCTGTTCAACAAACGGCTAAACCCAGCTCTTCTGATACTGAAAAGGTACTATGTCAATCTGTTTAACGAAAAATAATTTCATTAAGAACAGAAATTATTAAATTTAATAAATTATATATTTTAGGCAGCATTAATAATGCAAGTGTTGCAATTAACTGAAGAACAAATTGCAAAATTGCCTTCAGAACAGCGACAAAGTATACTCGTTTTGAAAGAACAAATAGCCAAGTCTGCTCAAAGATAATAAAAAAGGCTCAACAGACTTATTATAGATAGTTATTTATCTTTTAAACATAAGTCTATAGTTAAAACTTAATTTTTATCCTTATTATATTTTATTTATGAACTATATGAATAATTATTCATTTTTCAACCTGTCAATTATGAATTAGTTAAAAAACATAAATCTCTTTTTATATTTTTCACTTCCATTATACACAGAATATATTCAAAATTTCTCAATTAACTTTATAATTGTTGTCAGATAGAAATGCCTAATACCATTGATTATACATTTTTTATAATACTTTATAATATATATATTATTACACATTTTTTTTCTTATAACTTTACCTTAACAATAACTTCTGAGTAATTCTCTTACAAATATTTTTTATTGTTAATTTTTATGATACTATAAATTAAAAGCATTAACATAATTCTTATTTAGTCAAACTTAATTCATTTTGAAAATATTATTATTTTATACAGAAAATTCACAGCTGGTGAATCTATTCCATGGTAATATTGAACAAACTTGGAAATGTTAATTTGATTATCAAAAATAATTTAGTTGTCAATCAAAAGAAAAATATTTATTTTATTAGAAACTAAAAACATAATACATAAATTATTACATATTTTATACAAATAGACAAGCCTTAAGAATTTAAGGCATTGATTATTGTTTTTTATTTTTTTTTTCCGGATTTTCGATTTTAATCTTTTCTTGGGCATCATCATCTAATGTCTCTGGTATTTTTTCTTGTGCTTCATCTGGTTTTTTAACAAATTCATGGAACATCACATCACCAGTCATAAGTCCTTCTTCCACTTTGATCAACTAAAAACAATAAAACATATTTATAGTATAAGCATAAATTATTAAAATCTGTCATCATTATTATAATTTACCTGCAATGTTAGTCTTGGACCTAGTTCACTTAATCGTATGGAGGATTGAGTTCCTACTATGTTACCTCGGCTTACTAATTTTTGAGGAACAATAACATTGGAACTTGGATTTTCTTCAACCTCACTATCAGATAAAAGTTCTGGTCTACATATTGAAATAAAAATATTTAACATTATAAATAAATCAAACATACACGCACCCATATCTACAATATGTAATAAATATTTACTTTAATAAAAATTCATCAATATCATTGAAATTTGATAAATCGGGTACTTTACTCTGAACAATTTTTTTCACGCCTTTTGACAGGCCCACTGGAACGGTTTTAATAGCATAATGTCTAAATTCTATCATTTTTGTTTCAGGATTATAATTCATTAGAACACATCTTTTAATATCATTCAAATTTACCTATTACACAAAGAAAAAATTATTTAGGTATTATAAAAGGTAAACAGTAGAATTTGTAATCAATAACTGAATTAACAATATTATTTTTTGTACTTTCATATTATGAGTCATATTTGCATGAACTCAGAGGGATAGCAAAAATAATATTAGGCTATATCCTTAAATGTAGTATCATAGTATAAACTATATTACATAGTTATAAGTTTTAATAAAACCTGACAATTTTAATGCCTTTAATTATTATTGCATTTCCCAGTAAATAGAGATGTTTTAAATCTTACATTAAAAAAAATTGTTTTCAATACAATTAATTTTATCATTAATTTTTGTTCGGAAATAACAGCTAAAAATACAATAATTATACTAAAACAAAAAAATATCAAATTAATTTCATAATGCTAATATATCTACGTTAATATTTTTAAATTATAAATTAATTTTCAGTGCATTCCAAACCAGCCTACACCACTAAGGTAAGTATTATAGAAATTAAAAATCCAATGTAAATAAATAATTTACTAACCAATCACATTATGCTCTTTTCTAATAGAATTATTTACCCAAATTTTAACTTAAAATTTGTTATTGGAACCTTATAAACCAATATTTCAGGTAAACAATAATCAAAATCTTATTGACAAATTCTACTGTTATGACTTCATAAGATATATAATATAGTAATTTTTATTACTTTTGTGATATTAATGGTGGGAAACATGTTTTGAAACATGGTAGCCATTAAGCTAATATGCAATCCTTCACCAGTAAAATTATTCATAACAATTAAAGGAGCGTGACGGAACAATTTTGGATTGACCATTTGCTTTCGTAGAGATGACACAACATCTTTACTAAGTGCATAATTGTGTAGTTTAAATGTCATCGTTGGACCTTGAGGTAATCTAGCGATTCGAAAGTTAATCCCAGTCTCTGAACTAGTGAACACACACAAATGTGACACATGCATAGGACCAGCCAGGGCTACAAAATCTTTAATTGTATTTTTTTTGTACACCTATAATGATAAAAAATCTTACAATATACTATAAAAATCAACATATTTACAAATTATTTGATTATTTTTAAGTTAATTTGGGTATTACTTGCAATGAAGAGGCAGTAAATGGTTCCATTACTTTCCGAAAATCCTTAACCAACTGCAAAAGACTTTTACCAATTTGACCTCTATGAATAACAAAAGAATGTGGAGCTCTTTTCAATTCTTCAGGTTCTTCATAAACAGTTTTTTTCAATTTCTTTAACCGTTTCTATACACAAAAAAAAAAAAAATATATATAAGAAACATTAAATGTTTAATACCAAAAACTATAGCAGTTAGAAATAATTCAATAAAGCATTCCTGGCACACTAATATTTACAATATTTTTGTTGGAAATCTAATTACTTTAATGTTATGAAAACATAAAAAAAAAAATTAGCAGAACATTTTAATTTTGAAGTTATGACACTTAGAAATGTACATGGTTATGATCAGAATATGTACCATCAGTACTTAAATGTTTTATACAATTTTTTCTAAAAGAATTACTCTAAATAAAAAAAAAAAAACACAAAAATAGTAACATAAAATAATTTTTTCATCTTTAAAATTATAAGTGGAAAAACTTGGGGATATAATAATTGATTAACCATGTAAATATATTTTATGTAGTAAATATGTTACTATATGCATCATTGGCTTTGTAGCCCAGCACTGTTAAATTAGATAACTTTGAAACTAAGAACAACCGTTGAACTTCTAGTATTAACTAGTTTTAAACTCTATAGGAGAAAATTTAAAAATATAGAAAAAATTAAAGTACCGTTGTAAACATACAATAGACTCGAACAATTCTTTATTACATAAAGTTATGTTCAGATGATTAAGTCAAGAATACTTAAAAAAAAAAAAACAATAACAAACTCAGTTTGCAGAACACTGAAACTGACAAGCGCGGTAAAGCTGATCTAGGATTTTAACATGTAAATTCTGTGAAGTTATAAAGTATACAACTAACTAGTACTACTTACGTTTTTCTTCACAGTAGATTTTCTTTTCGAACCCATAGCGTTATATTACAATCACTCAATAATCACATAAAACAATGATACAAGCCAATCCTTAGTTCACAACTATCAGAAGCTCATTAGTGTTCTATAAAATATCTTAATATTCTATCAGCTAAAAAGGCACATGAGAATATTCTATCGCTTTTAATAACACACGTGTTTTGAAAACTGATAAGATTCATTGAGAAGGTCCGGCAATAATATTATTATTACCATTGCGGTAACGGTGGTATGCTGTCGACGGTATAATGCAGTGCGACTAATGTGCAACTACGTATTGAAGATAGGTACGTGAATCATGTACGGCTAACGAATTTCCTGCGATAAGACCGCCGCATTCACTATCAACGTGAATGTTAATAGCGGGAAAACATGCCATTCGAGTTGGAACGTTATCACTCGCCACGCGACAAAGCGTATTATTATTTTTACTTTAATTTTTCTTCTACCGGTTAAAACCATGTGGCCAGTGCTGCAAAAACCGGGTGTGCAGAGTGTGCCGCGCACACGGGCCTCAAAGCTTACATACATTTGGGGGGGGGGGGGAGCATAGTCCCAGCCTGAGATAAACTTCACTTTACAAACACACAATTATTTAATAATAAAATTTTTTTTTTTTTTTAATTCACGTAAGGTTAATATAATATTTTAGAATAATATAATATTTATTTAACAACGAGTCCATTGAGTATTTGAGTAAGCACACAACATACGTACCTAAACTACTTAAATAAATTTACTACATAATTATGGAATGAAGTATAATATACAACAGTTATAGGTATTTAGCTTGATATATATATATACATATATCATACACTAACTGATGTGAAACGTGTTTTAAAACTTAAAAAAATTGATACTTAAATTGACTAAAATCCTAGGAAGGGGCCAAATATAATTGCCGCACACGGACCTCCTATTTTGTAGTTGCGGCACTGCATGTGACACATTAACGATTTCGTAGGTATGTAAATACGCTTTTTAGATCCCGAACAAAATAGGTATTAATGATTCTGTTTTTTTTTTTTTTTTTTATGCCATCAAACGAAATTTACTAACTTATATAGTGTGATTGGACCGAAATTAGCGTTAATTGATAACTTAAATTTAACTTAAAATTTCTTAGGTCCATCTCTGGATCTAACTTAAATTTAACTTAGACCCAGAGGTGGAACAAGGAATATTTACGCCCGGGGAAAATGTTAAAATTACGCCCTGTCATAGACATTCAAATACTTTTCTCGATAATTTTTCCAATAACTAATATACAATCATATTTATTGTGTTTTAACCTAATAACAGTATTTAACAAAGTTAAAAATATCAAATTAGTTGTTAATAATTACAAAAATTATGCCATCTAAAATTTTGCGCCAGGGGTTTAACCCCGTCGTCCACCATCTAGTTCTGCCCTTGCTTAGACCTGTGGTAATATTCTAATATTTCATTATTTTATGTATGCTCTTTATACACAGTTGACGATATTATTCAAATTAACAGGATTCGTCATCGCTCATTATAACACTAAATTACCATGTATATTGGTATTTTACATATTATATTTTCGATCTAATAACGACTGTAATTATCTTGTTACAATACTTCAAACTTAATACATTTATGATAAAATAAAATAATAATTTTACTGATCCCAGGTATGTAATCAACTATAGTACAAAATAAACAATAATCAATTCAAATGGCTGTTAAAATAAAATACATATAGTTAAAATAAATTAAATATATCATATAATATAGTATGTACAATGAAAATAAACTTTATAATAATTAAAGTCAACTGTTATTATTATTGGCTAGCTTTTATTCTATCTAAAAGTTGTTCGCACGTCTTTTTAGCGTCCCCGAGCAACATATTAGTATTTTGTTTGTAGAAAATCGGATTTTCAACCGCTGCGTACCCAAAGCCCAAGGACCGCTTCATGACGATTACCTAAAGGGAAATAATTATTAGTACACGAAAGACTTATCTTTACCTCAAAACATTTAGTCCATTTTAACTTTACCTGACTTGCGTTCCAGACTTTCAACACCGGCATTCCGGCAATCACCGAATTAGGATCATCTTCAGCGCCAGAGTTTACTATGTCGTTAGCGCCGACCACCAACACTAAATCGGTTTTATTAAAATCGTCATTTATTTCATCCATTTCCAACATATCTTCGTACGGTATTCCGGCTTCGGCCAGTAAAACGTTTAGTTGCCCAGGCATGCGACCTGAAATCAAATTCATTTTGGATGAATTTCGTGAGAAAAAATTTTACAATTCGTAAAAAATAAATTTCTTTATTGCGCTATAGATAAGTACCTGCCACGGGATGAATTCCAAAACGAACATTTTTTCCGCTTTTTTTTAAAATTGAAACCATTTCAGCAATTGGGTATTGTGCTTTAGCAACACATAGACCATAACCTATAAAATATATTATTAGTAGATATGTATAATAGGAAATTTTACTGAATAATTTTAAAAATGGAAATTCTTTACACAAAATAATTTAAAAGTAATAAATTACCGTTATGGATGTTATTATATTAAATTTAAAATTTGACCAGTGATTTAAACATCTTTTTTCCGTTTGAAAAAAAAATTCACAATTTATTTATATAATTATACGTAAGTATTTGTATATAAAGCATTTTTAAATAAGTCTAAATAGAAAAAAAGAACAATTTTCAGTTTATTTTTATCTCACCTGGTGTTATAATAATATTTTTTGAGTTAATCATGAGATCTGCTACTTGTTCAACATTTGTTTCTGTGTGTGTGCCGGTTATTACATCTTTTCCACTGGATTTAACCGGTTTGTTGCCAAATCCACCAAGTATTACACTAGTCAATGACCGATTCATTGCCTAAACCATCCAACGAATATTGTCTAAATTTGACCTCTCCATAAAACATTCTTATTATTTTAATAAATTGTATATTGTAGTTATTTAATCCATGTTATTAGAAATAAATAAAATATATTATAAAACAACTGAATACTAACTTTACACATGATATAAGATAATATAGCACCGGATGATCCAATCAGAGCTCCGACAATTGTCATCAAATTATTATTCAACATGAATCCTTCAGCACACAATGCCCATCCTGAATAACTATTTAATACTGTGATAACAACTGGCATATCGGCACCTAAACAATTTTTATTCCTCAATTTAAATCATTATTATAGAATAAAATTAATTATAAGACGTATATCTGTTATTCGATTATAAAATGTTATTTGTAGATTATTTTTCACTGCTCATTCAACGAATCATTTTTAATAATTCGGCTTAAAGACTAAACAACTGAAAGCTAAATAGTTACCTCCAATAGATGACGTTAGTGACAATCCTAATGCTGCTGAAAAGGCAGTAGCAGATGACAATGACGCTAAACCACCAAACAGAGATGGGTCAATATAAAAATATGCCATAGATGCCAAGTTTCCGACAAGAAGGCCAGCATTAATTGCATGTCTTCCAGGAAGCAATAGCGGTGCTGAACTCAAAACGCCTTGTAGTTTTCCATATGCGATCAATGATCCACTAAATGTTATACCACCAATTGATGTACCTAAGAATAATGCAGTTTTTATAACGTTTGCAGTGGGATCGGTAGCAAATGTTGAAAAATCGTTCATGTATGTTGCTAAACATGTTAATACTGCGGCTAAACCAACGAGACTAAAATTCAATTAATACAATTAATATACCTACATAGAATATAATCATTAACATTATGAAATGTAGAGATACCTGTGAAATCCAGCTACGAGCTGGGGCAAATCGGTAATTTGAATTCTTTTTGCTATGCTCGTACCAATTGCACCTCCGAGAGCAGTACAAGTTATCATTTGAGTTAAAACTTCAGTGGATGGTGCAATATAACCAAGAGTTGAAATAATACCACCACTAACTCCAATCTATAAACATTTGTAAGAAAAAGGTTTTAAAAATTAAAAAAAAAATCATAAAAAATTATATTCTAAAATACTAACTATTCCGAGATTATTTCCGAAGCGTGCTGTTTTCTGTGAACTTAAAGAAGCAATGGCACCAATACAGCACAGAGACGATCCTAGTGCTGCAAAATTATGTATTTCTGATAAACCATTGATGACACCCCAAGAATAACCACCAAAGAATACAGAAGCCGGTATCAAGTATAATGCGTTGTATTCTGGTGGATCACCAGGCCTACATATATAAAACATTTCGTTTCTTATAAATTATCATATTTATTTAAAAATTCTAATAATATATTATAAGTATATGTATATATATATATATATATATATATATATATATATATATATGTAACTTTGCCGTCTACGAATTAATTTATACTTTGTGTTTTTAATTAAACACGTAAATAAAAGATTAAATAATTGCATTGTTATACCTTTTAAACATTTGTAACATACGCCGAGTCACTACAAATCCACCAAATACGTTAACAAACGATAAAAGTGCAGCTGAAGCAGCTAATCCCTGAGAATCATTTTAAAGTTATATTTTTTTAAGTAATATATAAAAAAGTGCTATTTCAATATTACCTGTACTGCGTTTGATGGGTAATATGATCCACCCATTAACAATAAACCCCCAACAGCTGTAATTCCTGATACAGCGTTGGTCACAGACATTAATGGCGAATGCAACGCTGGAGTTACGTCTAAAATAGAAAGTATTTTTAAATGTCATGACAATATAAAATTAAAAAACACTAAAAAAAAGGATAAATTATGGTCCTACTTACCCCAAACTGTATAATAACCTGCAATGCTAGCCAAAGAAAACGTAGATGCCATCATAGAAAAATGATGATTTGGAGAAACTGCACCAAATATTAATAAGCTACCAAGACCCGTAGAAATCGCCAGTGAATCTTTCATATGTTTACTGAAATGATTGACGGCCACAGTTTCTTCTTTTTTTACAATTTCTTTATTCGTTTTTGGTACTTCAACTTTTTTAGGAGGTGGTGGTGGCCACATTAATTCTCCAGATTTCAAAATAATACTTCCTCGAACAACTTCGTCTTCTAAATTTATCCAAAACTTTTTGTCGCTTCCTATAGTTAGCAGAAATTTTGAAATGTTATTTGAATACAAGGAAGAACTTTGAGATGGAAGCTTAGAAGGCAAGTCTGTTAATCCAATGTGTACGACGTCTTTATAAGTGTAAATTTCACCAACACGAGTGGTTTCAATATTTCCTCCTGCTTCAGCAGCTAGGTCAACTACAACACTACCAGGTTTCATGCTTTCAATGTGGTCCTGTAAGCCATCTAAATATTTAGCGACTGCGAAAATTTAACATTAATCCAATAAAATAGGTGTTAAAAATGGTACTTTTAAAATCAAAATTGGCGCCGGTTTTCCAGGAATCAATGCTGTTGTTATAACTATGTCTACGTCTTTCAATTGTTTAGAAAATAACTCCATTTCAGCTTCAATAAATTCTTTCGACATTTCTTTGCTGTATCCGCTGGAAGTTGTTCCTTCTTCCTAAAAAAGCAACGAAAAACATCAACTAACTAACAATAGAGAAAGTAAAATTATACAATTTACCTCAATAGAAACTGTCAAAAATTGAGCTCCTAAGGATTCAACTTGTTCCTTGACAGCAGATCGTGTATCAAATGCTCGAACTATGGCACCCATATTTTTAGCCTGTGCAATAGCGGCTAAACCAGCAACACCTCCACCAATCACAAATACTTTAGCCGGTGGTAATTTACCGGCAGCTGTTATCTGGCCTAAAATGTTACGTTTGATATAACAAATCTTTTGAGTGATTAATATTTTATTTCTTTATGTTATTAACCAGCAAAAAATCTCGGATAATAATTCGCAGCTTCAATGACCGCTCTGTAACCAGACACGTTCGACATTGAACTTAATGCATCAAACACTTGTGCTCTAGATATTCTAGGTATACAGTCCATTGCTAAAAACAAATTCGCATTATGTCTTAATAAATATTTTATAATTATTTTACTTCTATCATATACCAAAAGCACTCATATGTTTTTCCGCCAGTTTTTTTATCAAATCTTGATTACTCGCTGGATATAAGAATGATACCAATGTGGAACCATTTTTAAACAGAGGCACTTCATTTGGTACAGGGTGTCTGACCTTGAGTATAACATCTGAAAAATTTGAATCCGGTGTTTAAAATTTATAGTTATTAAAATATGTATAAGAAAGTACGTTTAAAGTCAATTTAAATGCTAATATAGTTAAATACAAATTATTATGCATAATCGTGACTTGTATTAATTTTTGTGTGTACACTATTATTATTCTTTACAAAATTATGTACAAAACCAATGAATTCTCTCTGCTCACTTGACATTCAAAATATTTACATTATAAAATATGATATTTTTGATCTGGCGAATAAAAGAAAGCATGACCTTACACTTTTCCTACTGTACTTAACAAATATTGACTGATGCTTACCTTTACGTACATATATTACAACGTATTCACGCATACATATACATATAATATTGTATAATTATATATGTCTGCTTAGAATTTAAATTCTGTAAAATGATTGACAAACATTGACTCTGATTTTAAAATAAATAACTACCAATTAAATATTAATTACTTCAAAGTACAATTCAAGTCATTAAGTTAAATTAGTTCACTGTAAAATTGTAGAGCATTTATTTTTGTTTTCGTTTATGTCTTGATATTTATTGCATTTTTATAGTTATATATTTTGCATGCACAAATTAATATTTTAAGCAATATAGGTGCTTAAAAATATTTAATTTATTTAGTAATGAATTCTTAATCCTTATCCTTTAATGGTCCAAGTCCCAACAAAATAGTATGGCGTACATCTAACATTTAATTGTTTGTATTCTAAACTCGGAAATGGGTGGAACTAATCATATAGTTTATATTTGTTACATTATTGTTATTGCTTACCTATATAGTAATTATCTCTGTTATCTGTTATCTATATACGCTTGACGCATATTGTGCGTGTACTTCGATATGTATTATAGTAATTTGTATATTTTTTACATATTAACATTATTTGCACTACCGACAAAATTTAGATAACCTTTTTTTATATAAGTCTTGAGTCTACGAACTTAAGCTAAGTGTATCTTTTTATGACACAACAAGCAGTTGTATATCTAGCACATCAAATATCAATACAATATAATTAATATTGAATAGGTAGGTACGGTATATTATGATATAACTACGTCATCACTCATTAAATTATGTATTATAATAACATTAATTATTATACTTTCTGACATACTACTGTTCAACTAATATTGATTTAGCTGGACTGCCTAGAAATATCAATTAACCATAGAAATTAAAGTGTTTGATACCTATATTAGAAAAAGAAAATACCATTACAATCTTCTAACTTCTAAAAAAAAAGGTTAAAATACATTTTTAATTTTTACCGATTTAAATATGAAATAACTTAACGAATGCGATTATAATATTCGTTCTTATACATTTAGTACTTAATGTTAGTAGTAAAAATCTATCAATTTCTATTTTTTTTTCTTTTTTATTATTTTTGATAATTTAAAAACTTACTGAAATAATAATTAATACAAATAAATTATACCTTATCATATATTAATAATTATATATGATAATTTATAATTACAAGGTTTAAATAATTATGAGTGTCAATATCTAAAAATTATTTTAGTATTTTCAATATACTTTTTAAATCAAAATACAATAAACTAAGTTGATAAAAACTTTTACTTATTAATTGTCTCAAGTATTTTATATGTCTTCAAATTAATTATGTAGGTATCTAATATTTCCTATTTTAAAGTTTAAATTATTTAATAATAATATCATTATAAGAGTTCTCAATCAAGGTCAAGGCGTGAATGTTAAATCGTAAAATAGATTACAACTTTTTTTTATATTTAAAATGAATTGAAAAAGTGTTCTATACCTTTTGATATCATAAATAAACGTGCTATTCGTAAAAATATTTAGATAGGTCAAATTATATTTTATTAATCAATTGAAATAAGTACAAAAAAAAAAAAAAATCTTTCACCAAAAAATTAAAGAATCGCTTAAGTTAAAAATTAAATGACCGTTTTTACAAAAAATGTTTCGTCTAATCACAAATAAAAATAACGTTGAATAAGTTAGGTAGTATTAGTAATTTAAAAAAAAGGTAGGTTAAGTAGCAAAAATACATGGTACATGAAACATTTTTATGTTCCTTTAAGAAGTATTGAAATTTTTCAATTAGAAAATATAACGCCCAGTATCCAGCGGTGACAGGAATTGAAAAAAAAAATGATTAATTATTATTAATGGTACTGAAAATAATAATAAAACCATTCGTAACGTGTATCACTAACACTGTTAATATCGCTTTATCGATATTAACCTCTCAAGGACTATATGCGCGTGTTTCATTGATGACTTACGAATAACAACCTGTTGAGTCGAGTCGTTAAGTATTCAAGTACAATAGTAAGGAATCCGAGAAAACGTCTACCTACGTACGTATAAGTGTACACAACAAACCCGATGCGAATGCGTTTTCCTTCGAAACGATTTCGGCTCCAGCGGTCTCGTAATCCCGATTTCTGAATTTAGCTCCAGTTCCCGCATCGTATTCCACTCGTACATTCCAGCCGTGTTTCTTTAAAACCTCCACGGAACTTGGCACCAGAGCAACTCTATAAATAAACAATAATTCGATGTAACACAATTCGATCACGACGACGGTGACGATAATCATAATTGTTATCGTCCGTTTTTACACCTCCTCTCGTTGGACCACGTCTCTTTGGGGACACCGATTTTAAGCTCGGTGTACGGCACTCTTGGCTCGGACGACTCGCACGACTTGCCGGGGACAGCCGACTCGAACCTGCGGGGAGCGCACTTCAAACCCGACCGGAGCGCGCGGTCGCGCGACGCTAGCCGGAACATCGCGCGCAACTACGACGGTATTACAGTACGTGGGTCGCCCTCGCGTCTACGTGTACGCGTGCAGCACGTGTGATCGTGGGCGCGGCAGTGACGAGGGGTGCCGCCGCGTCGGTGCGTCTTCACCGTCGAAACCGTACAACAGCGGTCGGGGCTTCGTTTAACATGACATTTCGCACGTTGCCGTTCGTGTTCGAGCCCCAACCGTCTTCCGACCGCGTCCGCGACCCGTTCGGCAACAGTTAATAACGCGTATGTGTGTACCGTACGGTTCGTATTGTACGGCCGACGTTGTCCCGTAAAACGTCCAGGCACACGCACCCGCACGATTGAACCTACCCGTTGTCCGGCCCGCGACGGCGAACGCGTTGGCTTTACCGTTACGCGGCCGCGCGCATCGTGTTTTATACCGTCGCTGCGGCAGCGGCGGCGTGTTGTCAATGATCTTTCCCCCCCGCCGCCCCCCCCCCCCCCCCACTCGCCTACCGCGTTACGCGTACGGGTAACGTAAGAGCTTCTCGTCGCACGAGTTGCGCTCCCGATGAATACCGATGATTCTCAATTGCACGCAGCCAATGTCTTTTTGTAACGGAGAACGATCATGGTGTGTGTGTGTAGTATGAATTAAACTGTTTATACTATCGGACACAAACAAAAACAAACAGCTCTGCTCTTTGCCCGGATCGTATAACAACGAAACAGTACATTTTTCATTTATATATGTTGTACATACAGTTTACCGTGCAACAGCTCCTCGCCGTCTTCTTTTCGACTCTCGACGCGCGATAGCTGATCGTTTTTGTTGGTGTTTCACAACAGAACGATCAACAAAAAACGTCGCCACGTAGACGTTTTATTCTGTCACAGCGCCAGGATCTGTTCTCTGTAAGGACCGGGCGGAGATGAACAAACCCGAGCTGTATAAAAACCACTTTTAATATATTTAATCCAACCGGGATAAATAATCATATGGCCATGTGTTTATAAAACTGTTTATGTTTCAAATAGAATACATACACTCGTATGTACAACGCTGGCGGGAGGTTTTGCGGGGTCCGGGGAAAATTTTTTCACGGGGTCCTAGGATTTTTTTCTCGTGAAGCCAAAAAAACTTTTCTTCGATTACTCGTATGACATATTTTTTCTAATTTACATAACTTATGTAAAAACATTTTCTTTTAGTATGGATGTTTTATTTCATCATCAAAACGTCAACAATTTTATTATTATTGTTTAATTTATAATTATTATTATACTATTTAATATGAAATTACTGACGCATTCGTTGATTCAAGGGCGTATTTGAAAGAGGGGGGGGCATCCACCCCCATGGTTCGTATTTTTTTTTTTGAATATAATACATTGATTTATTTAAAAAATGTAACGTGTAAATAATTAAGAATATAAATTATTAGTCATTATAATATGTTATCATTATAACAGGAACATGAGATGTAGGTAATGAATTGTAAATTATTTTTAAATATGTATTGAAGAAAAATTAGTTTCCCTCCCCCCATGGCCTCAACACAAATACGTCCTTGCGTTGATTTAATTTCCATATGTCCACCACAAGTTCTATGTAGTTCATTCATAGATTACATTTTGACAACTACATGGAAGGGCAGTTCCCTATGGAAATTTGGTCCCAAATAATCAATGGAAATATAACTGAAAGGACTGCAAATGGAACTGAAAAATTTCACCAAGGATTTAACTCTGAATTGTACACTTCAAATTCATCTGTATTTATGGTTATTGATATTACACGAAATATTATTCATACCCATACAGCAATATGTATAAACCAGTACCTTAAGGAAGTGCAAAATATTGACCGTCTAATTGAAAAACAAAAACTAGTTAGTAAATATACGCGCCCGCATGGAAGGCCAAAGAGGCCATTGCCTCTACTTTGAATTTTTGATTCAAAACTATTGTTAATTTAATACCACGCATATTAATTATAACATAATTTTATTGAGATCCATTTATGAAATTTAGTTAAATGTATTATGTTTTTAGATAGGTACCTAATCTAATAATCTAAAATCTTTAATCTTGAACATATTTATTAGTTTACAATGTTTACACATGACTGTATATTGTTTAAAACTATAAACTCTCCCGAATACCGATTTTTATGGTACTTTATTTTCATCTATTTTTAGATAGGTACGCGTTGTTTTAGCCCTTAGAATATTAATCTTGCCCCAGGTGGGATTTTATTCTGCGGGCGCGCTTGTTAGTAAATACAAAGTAGTAATATTTTTGATTTCTAATCAAATTGTATTTATTTTTAGGAACACTTGTTCAATATTCGGAAAGAATTTTGAATGGACAGAGAATGAAATTTTTAAAAACCATGAGTAATCGAACAGCCAATTAAACTTTGAAAATGTTACATTCTACATTTTTAAATTTTTTTATAAATTAATATTTTAAATTGTTGAACATTTATTTTTATTTTAATAAATAATAATTAGGATCTAAATCATAAGTGTGCTATTTTTGGATACAACAATTTTAAAAATCATGCTATTAACCTGCCAACCAAACAAGCTAACCAACCAAAATTGTGTGGTTTTACTTTGAATCATCATCCTAAGATATACAAAATAATAGAAGTTTTAAAATGTTTCAAACATATACACAGAGCTGCATTAAGGGGAGGGGACACAGGCTACAACTGCCCCGGTCGCTGGTTTTTTGGGGGGCACTAACATTTTGTGAACGGAAATTTGCTCACTTGAGAATTATTGAACTTTTAAAATTATTTTGAAATTATTATTTTTTTTTTGTTTTTCATAATAGTATCATAAATTAATGCTTATTATGTTGTTTGAATTTAAACAATTATGAACTAATGTATTTATAGTAATATAGCTATCAGCGATTCAGAATATTATTAATATACCTAATATTAGTTCCCAAATTTATTGTGATAATGTCAATAAACATAAGTTATTTATAATAAAACGGCGTATTATGTTATTGCATGCGGCGTGCGGTGGCATGCCTACTACACAAAAATAGCATTGATTTTAGAATATCTAAGAGGTTCATGAAGATCTATCTCCTATATTTTCCGTCGGTAAGCCCCTTACAGAAGCGCCAATTTTTTTTTGCGCCGGGGTGCAAAATGTCTAAATGCGAAAAAAACGAAAAAAACAAATTATGTAAACAAAAAAATTTAAGAATAAAACTTAAAACAAATAATACAGTATGATTATGTTAAAAGTTTGAATTTTCATAATTAGACACACAAAATTTAATTTACATTGTTATTATTATTATTATATTGAATAGGTACGTATAACATGTGAATGAATAATTATTATACAAGTATATGGACAAGATTTAATTAAAAATTGGATTAGATTATTTACAAATCACAAAACAAACAATTTTTAACCACACCAATTACGTTGTCAGTCCTAAGTCTGAACAAAGTGAGATAAAAATTTGTATTTGTTATACATTTTATTCGTGTATTAACTTACGTAGACAAACCCAAGGGTGATTTTTACTTGCTATATCTCGTGTGGGAACTTGCATTTGCCCAAAACAGTATATCACGAATAAACAATATAGATAAAAGTAGGTAAGTATCTTACATAAACAAATAGAAATTATAAATACCTGTGTTTATGCATAGGTACCAGGGCCGGCAAGAACTTCTGAGAGCCCCGGGCCTCTTTCCTTTGCAATTGTTTGGCCAAGACGCACCAAGACCACTTGTATATGCTTTGATACAACAAAAACATTGTATACAAGGCCGAAACGACGTGCCTTCTTAGATGTACGGGCCCTAGGGCTCTAGCTCTCTCTACCTCACCCTCTCGACGTCGCTGGTAGGTACCTAGTACCGTAAAACAAGTTTGTGAGTAAAAATATTACGTATTATTATTTGAAATAATGAAATATTTTGAATCGTTATTAAGTCTTAACAGGCGCAGATGCAGGGGGAGGGTCATGGGGGTCATGACCCCCCAGAAAAACATCAAGATTAGATCCTTCGTGTTTATTTAAAAATCAAAATATACATAAAATGCGTTTTTAATTTTTTTTCAATTAGATTTTTTCTTGCAATAAAAACGTTATACAATATATTATATTTATATACATTTAAACTACATCACCACTTGCTCATAAAATCATAATTTCCATCCAACTTCTAAGAATATTAATAGTGATTATAAACTTACTGATAGACTATAATATTGTTGGCGTAATAATATAAATATAATAGTAGATCTGCGGAAATGTTTGAGTGTTCGACTTTTGACGGAAAGATAACTTATCTAAATAGATAAAATTACTGTCAATCCGTTGGCTGGTACCTACCAAATTAGTTCCCGAGATCCAACCCCACGTGTCGAATTGGTTCTCGCCTGAAAGAGGTATTTTATTAGGTATAGCCGAATTGATTTCCGTTTAACTACGTACATTTTCCTTCTCAATTTTATAGACTTAGGACTGTCAACTTTAAAGTAGACTTGGTTATTATGCATGAATGTATGTTAAAAAAAAAAATTATAAAAATATACAATTTTAAATCGTTAATTTGGAAGTCAACTAGTCATCACTTAGGAGTACGAAATATAAATAATAAAATATAATAAATACATTTTAAAACTACTGATTTGCAAATTTGCTTATAACATTTATATGTCCCATAACAATAAATAATATACCTATATTATTTTGATTGAAGACTCAGTCCATACTTAATGAAAAATTAGATAAAACACAACCGAAACTTTCAAAACACAGATAGGTATTAAAAAAAAAAAAAAACCACAAATATTAAGGATTCACCTGATATAAATATTACCAAAAATTTTATTTGTAAATGTTGAACCTGAATTAAAGAAAAAATTTGAGTCACCCCTCTAGAAGTAAGTTTAAATACGCCCCTGTTCAACTCCCCCCCCCCAAATAAAATCCTGGATCCACCACTTCGTATGATATACATAATCATAAGCGCTACACAATCAACAATTATTACAATATAATTTAAGTAAAGAATAAATAAATATAAAAGAAAAATAAATCAATAAAAATAGTTAAAATTGGTAAATAAAATAAACAACTATATAAATACACTTTATTAATGATTATGTCAGGTAACTTTTGGTTCATAATTCGACGTTAAGTTTGCTTATATTAATATAATTAATTAATTATACCAGTTTATAATTTTAATAATGTTTTATAAAGTAAGCGAGGTATCTACGTACATAGTTCCTAATTTTATTTTCGAAGATCTAAAAATAAAACATAAAGTTTTTCATATTATGTTACTCTTCTATTTATGTTTATATTAATTTTTCAAAAAGAATTCTATCGTTTTATACGCACGGAGTTTTTTATAACCACATAAAATTACGTAAAAATATATAGTAAACTAATTTAAATTGTTCCTTGTTGGAACTTATTTACTTTTAACACAATAATACTAATTCATTAATAATTATTATAAGAACTGATTTAATAAGAAATTAGGACTTTGATCATAATGAATCTTTCAATAATCAATGACTAATGAGAATGAACGGAAACAATTTCAATGCAATTCAATTCAATGTCGATATTGAACCACTTTTTCAAACTAAGTATATTAAGACAAGGCCTTTTGTTCTGAAGAGGGGTAATACATTTTTATTTACATATTCTATTGAAAAACAGTCAAAAATCCATATACTTAGTAAAATTTAATACAAATTACTTTTAAATCAACATGACTGTATATTAATAGTAAGTATGTCTTATTTTAATCTAAAAAATAATTACCTACTGCAACAGGCGTGCGCACAGGGTGTGCCTCGGCGCACCATGTGACCCGTGGTTTATTTACGACTTTTATTCATTAGGGGACTTAGTTTAAATTTTAAGCTACAAGTAGTAAAAATTAGATAAAATAAATTAGGATCTCCATTAAAAATGACAAAATACTAACCTAAATTTATTATTTTATTTAGGAGAGAGGGTTAGGTGAGATTTGGTAAGACTCGTATAAAGGAAAGTGGCCAAATTTTCTTCATGGCACACTCCATACAAAATCCTGCGCACGCCTATGTCTGCTGCAAAAGATAGATATAATATTTGTTTGTTTCCATTTTTAATAAGTTTCATTATAAAATATTGACATCTCAATTATTCCTGTTAAAAATAAAAACTATTTATTCAGTGTTTGTTATGTCTCAGTGAAACAGTCTCACCAATAGTTGTCATCTTTGTATCTTCTCTTATGGTATTTTAATATGGAATTATATTATATAAATGACCAAACATTAAGTTCGTTTTATAAAAATATTACAATTATTAAAAGAGAGACATATAATAAAATAAAATATATAAATTGTATCAAGAGTTTCACAATATCAGTACATTATATAATTTTAATAGTTTTTGATGAAGTTACAATAAGTAATATATATCTTATTTCCAGATAAATTATTTATTTTGTATATTGTGCTGTGATCATAAACACAGAATAATTAACTATACAGTGTATCAAAATATAACTTTTTATTTATTATACATGTGACTAATTTTTGTTTTTATATAATTATCTTTTATAAGGACAAAATTAGATCAATAAATGTACTATCAATGTATAAATAATCAGTGGCGTAGGAAGGGTATGGCGAACTGTGACAAGGGTACGAATTGCAAAAGGATTCTAAATAATACAAAAATCATATTTTTATTCAACCCGTAACACAAAATTTTTCTATTATAACTTTTGAAATGTGTATAATTTGTTTAATTTTACACATGACATATGAATTCAATAATAAAATTATAAGAACAAAGAAATTCTCATAGGAAATTTCATATGAAGAAATTATCAATAAATTTGCCAGTCTTAACATGAGAAAAGCAAATTTTTAAACTTTAAAATGTATATGATATTGATAACTAATAAGTATAAATTGTATTCTTAAAAAAAAAGTAGTAAAATTAAAGGTTAAAAAAATATCATCACATCAAATTTTAAATTAGTAAAAAAGTTTTTTTTTACTAAGATTAGCAAGAGAGCTAGCAAGTTTTCCTACACCACTGAAGATAATGAGGTAAAAATGTAATTGTTTTCTTTTACTATAATCATGTGGTATTTGATATTTCAAAAATTAAACCATGTACATATATCTTGAAATAATTATAATTTGATATTATCATAGCTATAATTCAAATGCCTACTTAATATAAAACACATCAATTAAAAAATATAAAACAGAAAATTATATATTCAGTAAAAAAATCAAAATTATAATAAATGGCATAAAATCTAAAACTTACAGCATTATAGCTAAAATAAAATAAAAATAAATATCAGTAAATGAGCTTTTTTACAGATATAGTTACTAAATAAGGCTTCAATATAAGTACCCTCAAGAACTATTTTTATTTCAAAAAAATTACTAAAATCCCAAGGCCTTTGTGTACTTTTTGAGTGGCATTTTAAAATAACTTAATTTCTATAGTTCTTTATTCAGACTTGGAAATAACAACAACAAAAAAGACCTAGATTGTAAAATATATTATTTGGATGGGTCACTTGAGTAGAAACGACAGTAAAACAATTTTGAACAAATTGGTCAAATCAATACTAGCATCAAAATATAATATTTAATGTGCACATTATAAAAAAAAAAAAAAAAAAATTGGGAATTAATTAAAAACAAAAATGTCATTGTTATACTTTTATCTTCTATATTCATTTTTTAATTTAAAATTTTGATGCATATTTAACTCGGTTTTTACAGAAAAAAGTTTATTGTCAAATTAAAATATTTCTCACTTTGTTAAAATTTAAGTCACATATCCCTAAAGTATAATTTTTCCATTATGAAAGTTACTAATTCCCATAGATAAGGAGCCAATATTTAGAATTTAATTATGGTTATTCAAACATCTATGACCTTAAGAATGTAAGTTAATTGTTTACATGAATCTGAATATTATTTAATATTTAATAATTAATTGACATTTTAAAATAAAAATAAAAGGAATAACATCAAAAAAATACAAAATGTATATAACATGAAATTAAGTGTATTACATATATTTCAGTGTTTGTATAAACATAAATATTATGTATTAATTTAATACTTTCTTAAGGACACAATGATATTATCGATACAATGCACGGTAAATTCAGGCGTGATTAATAAGTACCTCAAAATGTTAACAAAAATACTTCTATACCATAACATTATGCAGTCCTTGTTATGGCACATAATACTCTCACTCTTTCTCAAAACATGATACATTAATTCATTTTCATACTTAAACATTAATACAGTTGTGTTAAAAGTTCTAAAAACACAATTAATTAAAGTTTAAAGTGTTTAAAGTATCATGTTCTCAGTTTGATATAATTTGACGTGGAAGAAAACAACAAAATAATATTTTTAATTCCATAACTCTAAGAGTAAAAACATCAAAAGTATCAACATATAATTACAAAATTTGTATAGAGAGAAAATTACTTGGCCTCCTACATATCCTCAATCTCCAAAAAAATAAATATATATATATATATACATAGACTGTACCGATAACACCGAAATTGTTCATGCATTAACAAGCAATGTGACTTAACTTAAATTAACATAACTTAAGATAAGATTTTGTAAAAAATAGAGTAATTTCAATTAAAATTCCTAAAAAATTATTAGGCACTGGTCAATGCAAGTGATTTTACTTTAGCTGGATTTAAACTTTTTTGTTGGTTGTTCGTCTACAACATCCAAAGCTGATGATTCAATAGCTATTCCTAAGACATAATATTAACAATTACAACTCAAGTATTTAATATACTATATAAGTAATTTATATAAATTAAAATATAATTAAACTTACGTGATAAAAATTCATGTAATTTCTTCGGTACACATGCTTTTGCTTGTTCTAGTTGTTCTGCAGTACTTGAACCTGTATTGAGACCTATATATAAAAAATATGAATTGGTAATATTGAATTATATAATAATTTATATATTAAATACCCAATGAAAGATTCATGCTTTTTAATAAATCCATATCTTCTACAATTTCATAACTGTTACTAAATCCAAACAAGTATTCTTTCCTGAAATCAAAAATAGTAAATATTAAATATATATTACAGCTTACAATTATTTTAATAATTTACTTGTCTTGAGAAATACTGCAATCGATTACGGTACCAGGATCAGCTTTAATAGCAATGAATGGCAAACTAAGAACTGATGCAGAAGAAGGCTGGCCATGTATCTGTTCATATTTTTTATTTTTTTCAACAAGTTGCTTGAAAGTAACTTGCTGTAAATATATAAAACATAAGTTACTACTCAGATATAAGAAATAAGTAAAAAATAATTATAAATTATTATATAAAATTTAATCTGAATAATGATATTATTTATTCAAATTAATATGTACCTGAACAATTAATTCTTCCAAAATTGCTTGTTTTTCATTGAGCCGAGCCATTATATCTTCTCGCTCTTGGCTTAATGTAGATGGCTCTTGAAATGAAGTCACTGGCAGTCCTATCCATTTGATTTCTTTCTTTTCTTTTGATATAATATTCATGGCCATTAAGACATTCAAAGCATCATATACTCGTCTTCTAACATTTTTTTGATCATACTAAAAAATAAAAAATAATGATATACAATTTGTAAAAGTAGTAACACATTTTAACCAAAATTTTAACACAGAAATCATTTATTTTTCAACTTACTTGTTCAGCATTACTACCCTCTGGATATTCAGCAACAAGTTCATCAGCTACTTCATTATAAGTTGTAACCATTTTACTGCGTACTTTTTCGCATACACGCATGGCAAAATGTCGTAGTCCTTTCCCAGGTTTTTCATTTCGTCTTCGTTTACTAAAAAAAATTAAAAAATATAATACTTATTTAATTTTTATCACAAATTTTTATGAATTAAATTATTGTTTAAAATGAACATTCATTATTAGTATAATATATGTATAAGTACAAACAAGTGTACATACATATTCTATATAAATAATGAATTAGAAAGCATGTTATATAGACATATATTTAAATTTATAAACGTGTTATTTCACAAAATTACACTAATTTAAATTAGTAAAATAATAGAAACGGATTTGCTCTATAATAGAATAACCTTAATAATTTAGTATTTAATTTTAATGAGTGCTAAGAATTAATAAAAAAGTTTAAAAAATTATTTATGATAAACTTTGTACTAAAAAACCATCAATTGTTATGATCAATGATCAGTAATATTAATTTATAATAATCAATTTATTATAAATATTATCAAAATTAATATTTTTAGAAATTTTGATTGAAACTATAAAATTTCATAAAAAAAAAAAAAAAAACCATAATTAAATTATTAAAAATACATAACAATATAATGTATAATATGAATTTTTTCTTTAAGTCTTAAGTCTTGAAAATATAATACTTCCAAATTATATACAGTTGAAATAGCATTATTTTAAAAACAATAATATTTATCAAGATAAATCTTAAACATTTTTTTTAAAAATTATACTTAAGTATTAACTGTAAAACATGGTATTTTTTAAATAAATTTAAATTATAAGGAGTAAAACTAATCACATTTTATAGCTTTTAGAACTATTATTTCTGATTCAAAAAAAAAAAAATCTTTTAAAACTAAAGTTTATTTTTTATTATATCTGAACTCTTCAAAGTATCACGAAAAAAAATGTTCAGTTTTTAGAGAGATTTTGTGAAATTTATTGGGAACTCCTAAATATTCTAAATTTATCTATTGAATTATGTAATTCCTTTAAACTGATTTTATTATCAAATTACAAATATATATATATATTGTAGAGTGCAACCCTTATTTTCTTCGATTTGGCATGATAACCCACTAAGTTATATTTTAGGGTATATTAATAAACTATAAATTGGCTTTAAAAGTCGACTCCTTTTAATTTAAATCTATAAATATTAGTGTTTATAAATTCATCTGATTACATTTGTACTTTCAATAGTGTTTTTGTTTACCTACTGAAATTCATCATTTCATAAAATAAAAGAAAAAATGTTGGAAATACTTTGGTTAATATTATTAGGCACAAAGAAAAAGAAAAAAATTTTCAAAAATAAATAAGAATCAAATGAAATTCAAAATTGTTAAACTAAGTAAATTTAAAAATATTTAATATTTAACTAATAATTTAATCGATATTTATTAAAAACAGCATAATTTAAATTAACCCTCAGTAATATACACATGAAATTACATAATAGTTTTAGAAATTAATTTCCATAATTGATTTAGTATGAAAAATAATACTGTAGGTATGTAATTAATAAAAACAAATAGTATTATAATTGAACTGAAGTTTGTCAAATTAATTAGTTCAAATTATTAAACCATTAATTATTCAAATTACTTATTTCATCTCAAATAGAAAATTGTGTTATTTTATAGTTAATAAGATAGATATTACAATAATACATTATGCAACATAGTTAAAATTAATTCTTAGAAGATAAATGATCAAATAAACATTTGTTACACACAATGAAAATATAATTTTTTTTTTAAATGCAATAAAAAACTAATTAATTTAAATATAAATTAATAAAGAATAAATTATTTTGAAAATTGTATTATTTTAAAAATTAACTAAATATATAATACATATTTTATTACTTAGATTATATTATACAAATATACTTGATATACTTTTAAGGTAAAGGTACTCAATAAATCATTAAAAATTTATGAAAACCAACGTTTAATTAATAAAGGAATAAGGGGCATAGATTAATACAGATTTGTAAGTTTCTGACTTAGTCCATCATTAATACAATTCTTAAACTATTAGAAATTAAATGACTTACTGAAATGCAATAAATCAATCATATGAAATATATTTATGGATTAGTTAAATCATTAAATAATACTGGACCTTCGAATTTTATGAGAATATTTTCATATTTTTATAATATTAATTGAAATAAGACAAGAACATACAGGTTAAATGTATTCTTTAATTATATTAAAAATAAAAAAAATTTAAATAAGTAATTAACCTAAGTCATTGATATATCAATTAATATGTAATAACTAATATAAAAATATTTATATCTATAACCTATCTTTAACCTATACCCCATGATTCATGTCGTTCATGTATAAAAACAAAAAAAATTGAATTATTGTAAATTAAAGATATATCTCAGAATACTTTGTACAAATTAGTATTTTTGGGGTAAAATGTTAATTAAGAGCATAAATTGAATCTACTGCCATCACTAAAAATGTTATATAATAGGTATCTTTATAGCAAGAATAAACGAGGTAAAATAATAAATGATATTCTTTACGCTAATCTAATTTTTCATGGTAAAATGTATACATAATTTAAGTAAAAAGTAGAAATGGTATAATTCATAAAGTGACTTTAAAAGTATCAATATGAAATCCCATGCTGAAGTATATATTATTTACCTATATTGATATAAAATACTTTTAGAAGTCATAATAAAAACTATATGATTTTATATGTAAAATACTTTTTAATACATTAGTTCTTAAAAGGATGAATGACAGAAAAATAGGTTATCAATAAACATAAAATCAAATAAATTGGAGTGAATGTAAATTTCAAAGTTTTTCCTTCAGAAATATTTAAGGCATAATACAAATTTCAAAATGTTTAGATAATTTCTAAAAAATCTTAAGAGTTCATAATTCTATTGAAAACTCGAGGAATATCGAATTTTTATTTATTTTAAGTCGTAATTGAGGATATCTATAATGCACGCCATGCAAACCAAACCATACAAGTGTAAGGCTTTTGAACCGTTTGTGGCATGAGAGCACGTTTAAAGCCCACCAATTACCGTATTTCAAATAACACAATAATACGTTAATATACTGTAATATTACTATTATTATTATATCAATACGTACTAAGCTGGTATAGGGGCCATGTTAACAATGGGAACTTGACTGTTGGCTTCGTTTTCTTGTTTAACGACCACGTATGAAGTCGTTGAAGACGATGAAGACATAGCATACATGATACAGGAACCTGTACCAAGTGATGAGAAAAACAGCGGTCGTGAACAAGGCTAATATGGACACAAAAAAAAAAACAAACGCTTCCAACAAAATACTACAGTAACACAAAAATGTCGATGGGACGAATGTTATCAAGCTAGCTTATAGCATTCAAGTGATAACGAATGTTTGGCGGTGTTTGTGAACGGGCGGGAAAATGGTTGCCTGTTCTTAAAATATTATACACAAGGAGAGAAAAAAACACAAGATAATTATTTTCATAAAACAGCAGTCAAAACCATACGTTCAAATTCGGATATTAAGAAGCGTATTATGTCCTTTAGGCGAGCAGTATAACTGGATATAGTGGAAATTGCGCGCGCTCCGGTTTCACTTTCACTATTGTCTTCTGACGACCTGATATGCATAGTAGGACGACGTACACTTCGGTTCATCCGGACCATGATCGTATTTACATTTAATTTCAACCGTACGCTTTGAATAACTAGTGTAAAACGAGAAAAGTGTTGGGTGTCCATGTGTGGTTATTCGCAATATTAAACGTGTATAGCGCCTTTGGAAGATCGAAAGGTGTAAAATCAATTTCGAAAAACGTTCGGTTCCGCTGCACGGATGTTAATATTGAAAATTTTTAAATCGAACGTAATAAGCTTTTTTCGGACTAAGCGTAAATTAAATTAAATTCTCTCGATCTCATGAGTATAAGCATACCTATGTCGTGACTACGCAATATTTCATATGAATTGGTAAACAGTTGTTTCTCAATTCGATAGTGAGCTCAGAGTAAACAGAAACTAAATTAGATGTAAAAAATCCACTGTCTTGTACTCACTGTACTTACAAGTTCAAAATGCTTAATTGTTTTGCTTTAGCATTTTTACGAGACGGCGACAGGCGACCCGTTGGATACGTCTAATAAACATTAATTTAACATTACATTGGCATGTACTTAGTCGAAAAGATGGACCACACAGTTTCATACTGATTGGTTTGCTTTTCGAGAGTGAAATTTTAAGAAAAAAAAAAAAAATCATAAAATAATCGATTTTGGAGTTCCATATACCATTTCAGAAAAGCGCGGCAAGATTCACGAGCGCGCATAAACAATTTACCCATTGAAGTACGAAACATTTTCAAATGCAAACCAATTTTTTGAGGTTAAGACATAGATAGCCGCATATTTCTTATCAAATCGTTCTTTGCGTTATCATCAACCTTATCTGTAGCCAAAATGCTTATATACATTATTTTCAAACATTCGTTAATGTTTTTGATTATTAATTATTCGTAAAACTTATGATATTGTATGAAATTCGATGTCATCTTTTTCGTCCATGTCTATACATAGTACACGCCTATAGTATTACGTCGAGTTAACTCCATGAAACTCCTGAATGGTGTTAACTGTATTGATAGCTAATCGATTCGCAGTCTCCAAAGTAAAATGTTCTCGAAAAAAAAGTTATCTTGTCGGTTTTGTTTCACAGACTTGTGGCATGAACACGCGTTCATAAAGTGCAATACAGATATTTGTGTCAAGTTGAACATAAACATTTGCCTTCAGTGTTTTTCAACAGGCACTGAAGATCATGTTCATAAAAACACTGATCCATACAAAGTGCTATCTAATGCCGTTCAAATTGGTGACCTTTTGTGGCATGCCCACGAAGAAATTATATTACTTGATACATTTATGAACACAATGTCTTGGGCAAAAGTTGCTCAAAAACTGGGTAGATCAACTGAAGAATGTGAATGCCATTACTTTAAGAATTATGTACTTAATCCAAAAATTAAAGGTCTGGAACATATAAATAGAAATGCATTTCGTCTTCATAAATTCAATAAAGCAATTGAATGTAAGCCGAAAACTATGGACAATGAATTGGATTCGGAAGGTAATTTTAATAAATTACTGTAAAAACTATTTTTTTTTAATATCTTAATCCTAGTTTCTGGAAATATAGGTTTAATTAATTAATTAAAACTTGACATATACCTGATAAAAAATTTTTCATTCAAAATCAGTCATATTTTACAAATATAATAATATTCCAGGCTAAGTTTTTATTTATGTTTTTATTTATTTATTTCTATACATAAATTATCTGTTTATTTATTTATTCACTAATTTGCAATCATTAACCACTTAATAATTTTTTATTATTTTATTACACCATTATATTAAAAATGTAAAAATAACCAAAACATTCAATTCCATTTCAAATATTTTTCAGTAAATTTCATGCGGTCTTTTTTCAATTTTACTTTGTATTTAGTGTGGAGTTAATTTCTTAAAAAAAAATAATGCTTAGAACTTTATCATTTTTAATAAAGTATCGAAATTTAAAATTTTAAACCTAATTATAATTTTACTATTTAAGATTTTAGTCTGAAATAGTAAAAATAGCTTAATTTTATTTCAACTACTATGCTATCTCACAATTTAATAATCTTATGGATTTATTATTCATAATTAGGTTAGACAATATTCAAATAATTTTTAAATTTTTGGAAAATAAGTTCTACAATATTAAAATGCTTAGATTGTTACATGTATTTAAAAAATATTTTTAAATTTTTTTGGAATTGAAGACACTTTTATCCTAAAAATTAAAAAAATTTAAAAAATGTATTAATATAGGGGGTATGTAATTCAATACTATAATTATTCACAAAATAATTGATAAGTAATTGATAAGGTAATTTTAAATAACTATAATTGACTTATTTTTTCTAGAATCATATCATCAATATGAAGTAGCTATGCGTTTAGCAGGTTATCAACCAGCTTGTGGAACATTTGAAGAAGAGTATGATGATCAAGCAGAAGATGTTATACAGTTGTTGAATGAGCCAATATGGATAGATCAAGAAACCAAATTAAGTTTGGAATCAAATTTAATACAACAAAAAATGAATGAAGTCATTATGGACATTTTTATTGACAGGCTACAAGAACGATATCGAAGAAAGCAACTTGTAAAGGACTATGGTCTTGTTGAATATAATAAACATCAACTATGGATCAAATCTATGGAGGTAGTGATATTAGTTTCTCATAACTTATAAGTAATTTTTATGAAGATAAAATAAATTATGTTTCAATATATAATTCAATTTCAGATTGTTTTAGGACCAGAAATGATGCAGCACTTAATTCGTTATACACATCTAATCAAACCTCTAGCTTTTGATTTTCTTGTTACAAATCTAAAAAAAGAATATGAGTTATTAGCTAGAATTCATAAACTTATTGAATATCGTAAAAACGGTTTGACTAAGTTGGCTCAAATAAGTATTTATGAAGAATTAAAATGCAAAAGAGAAGAAAATTTAAAAAATAGGCCTTCGGGTACATCAACACATAGAATTATTGAAAGCACAAAGCCTCGTATTAATGTTTTCAACCTACCTGGTTTTCAGAAACTTGATAATGAGGAAAGAGAGTTATGTGCTCAAATTAAAATGTTACCTGAATCATATTTGAAATTTAAAGAACTACTTATAAATGAATGTGAAAAGTCAAAAGGAATAATTTTAAAGACTGCAAGGAGTTTAGTTAAAATTGATGTTAACAAAACCAGAAAAATTTATAATTTATTAATAAGTAAAAATATTATTTGGCAACGTTCCTCAGATTAATATATTTATTTAGATTATTAAAATAAAAATAATTTGTTTAAATAAAGTCTTTTAATTTTCTAATTATATGAAATAATATATGTTCTATTAAAAAAAAAAAAAAAATAATAATAATAATTATTTCTGCTTATATCTTAATAAATAAAACTAATCTCAATTTTAAAAATTCTATTTGACTGAAACACAAGTATTTTATAAAATCATATTGTTAATATTATGTGTATATTTTTATATTTATTTATTTTGTTATTGTTAAAATATATTAATACATTTTAATTAAGTGGTTAACATTTTCTACTTTTAGATTCAAAGTGATATAAGGAATATATTGATTTTACCTTAAAATGTGGTTTTTATGTCCATGTATACAATGTATACAATTCGACCAGAAGAATTGCTCCAACCATTACCAAATTAATATAAAAGATAGGAATATAAAACAAATGATTCCTAGTTGATATTTTGAGAGGGATAGTTTTATTAATTTACCTACAGTTTTAATAATTGCATAGAAATAGTTATTGAATGTCAAATTTTTATTTTATCATAACTCAACAAATTAAGATTGTGTATGTCTTACCTTTTTTTTTTTTTTTTTTGAAAATATTTATAAAATAATTTTATTTGACAAAAAGCCTTAAAAATTAAATATTAAATTCCTCAAACATGTGTATAACTGATTAAAAAAAAAAAAATTGAGTTTAATTTATAAAAAAAAAGTATTAAATGTTAACAAAACAATAAAAATCACAAAAATCTTCTACATTTTTACAGTCAAAAATTTGTAACATTTTCAATTTTTATACTTGAAAATTAAATATAATATTTTACATGGTTTTCTTTATAGCTCAAAAAAAAAAAAAAAAAAATTAATGGAAAGTCCCAAAAATAATTTAAAGACGTTACAAAATGAAATTTGACCAATTTTAATTTAACTAAATTTCATTTAGTAAAGATATTTCATAGTTAAACTTACATTATTAAGAAATTTGGTTATTCTATTAGGGATAGGCAACTCAAAGTAACCAGAGAATTAATTTATAGAATTTTTTAAATCTGACAAGCCAGACTAAAAATACCAAAAAAAAGTTATAAAAATTAACAATTAGCATTTATTTTGTAAAATTTAATTTTACAACTGAACCAATAAAATAAAATAAGTATTTAAAACCTATATCTATGCCCATTGGTGGATGCAACAAATAAAATTCTTCAGTCTATTAATTTGTTTGGTATTCAAAATGGATTTGCTGTTTTTATTAATTACTCTCATGAGCATGTGAATGTGTGGACTAATAAAAAGAGTATGTTCTATAGGAGAGACTAGATAAAGGTCTAAACGTAATGTTTTATTTAAAATATTTGGTCATTTCAAGCATTCGAACCTGGTTTATTTATGGAACTTATAACTACATTTATTAAAATTAAAAATATTCGTAACATTTGATTTAGTAAAAGTTGGCCATCGTTTTCCAAAAAGTAGAAAAAAAAGAACACGTACATTTTTCTATGAATCAACTGATGATTCACTAGATGTATTTTATTAGTGAATCCACTAGAAGTATCTATTTCATCTAGTTTTTCATTGCATGGACAAATTTTTGCAGATTTTTCATGTCTTGACAAACAGTTTTCAAGTAAACTTATTTCTACCCATATCAGGGTTGTAAAGCATGTATGATAAAATGACTCGTTTGGCCCAGATATTACATGCCACATTAAGAGATGAATTTAAACACTTAATGTCTAAATAAAGTGCATTCAAAAAGATAACATTTTCTGGAAATGATCATATTGAATTAAAAAAAAATAATTTTTAATAAAAAAAATGTCGTCTATTGACCATGTCAGTATATACATTTAGCATACATGTAATTTAGAAAAAAATCAATTTTTAACCAAGCCAACGATGATAATTTGTTGACAGTCCTAAGCCTGTAATAATTGGGAAGAAAAATTGTTAATTAATAGATAATAAGTTTGAGTGCATGTATATGAATATTATATGTAGAAAGTATGTATTGAATACATTATTTTATGTTATAAATAGATTATTTTACATAGTACCTATATATACACATATTATTATTTGGTGCGCAATGATGTTGTGATTTTATCAGGTAAAAAGGGATCGGGGTGCAATCGTGGTGTAATTAGTCGGGTCAAAAAAGGAAAAATTGCGTAATCGGGTTGCAGCCATATATAAAATATTATATTGTTCCAATATTAAAATAGGAACATTTAAAAGTGAATGCACAGCCCGCACAGCCATAGAGACATTGAATTTTTTTTTTTTTGGGGGTTCAAAATATGTTTTTCATCTATTCTGAAATTCTTAAGTACGCCACTGGGAGCACCCCTGCTTATAAATTTCATTTATAAGTGGATATGTACTTTTTTTTCACTGGAGTATACTTATAAGGGCTACATGTAACAAAGGCCTATGTACAAATAGAGTGGAGGCTTCGTCCCCTCCTTAAACAGACTCGTAGCACTCAAAATAAATACCATTTTATACATTTCATCTTTGATATAATATTGAGATGAAGCTGTAGCCCTCTCCCTTCCCCCCCAAAATTTAGTTCTAGTTGTACAACTAGTCTATAAATATATAAAAATGAACACATCACTCTCTATATTTTATAAATACGTATGATATGTATATTAAAAATGTATTAATAATTTATATAATTAATACTAGACAATCAAATATTAAAATATAAACAGTGTATTATAAATATACTATTTCTAGCAGCTAATTTATTTTTAATACCATTTGAAACAGTTGTATTTAGTTAATATTTTTCTTTATTCATCAACATAAAACTTTCCAAAATATCCCATTGTATTTCATAAGTAATTTTCCACTTCAAAAAACCTGGTTACAAATAATATTAAAAATTAGTTTTTAATCAAAAAGACTAAGGTATGCATTTTATATACGTTATACTTCACCAGCCCAACAAAGCAACAAAGTACCTACACAATATTTTACATTACTATTTGGACTATGACTCATACAGTCATAGTACTAAATAGTACTGATAAGTACTAAACTTACATCATCACTTGAAAATTCTAAGAAAACAAAATTAAAATCATATTATGAAATTTAAATACATTATCAAATTTAGAAATATAAATTATTTTTGTAATTACCGTCAATATTATCATCATTGTCTTTTAGTTCTTTAAATACACAACCAATGTTTTTTCTTTCCATTTTGATATTGAGTCGGAGTATTAATTTTGGAAGTCTACATACATAATTTTTGGGCGTTATTTAAAAACATTAATTTATACTAGTGATGTAGGTGATTTTTGAAAGTGAAACTATCTTTTGAATCTATTTAAATCGTAATGAAAAGATCAATTCATTTTATATACGGTTTTTTTTAATCAATAGATTACACTTTTTGCACATTTATCTGTGATCTAGATTTAGTCCTAGGTAATATATGTATTTGTACAGATTATGTTAATTAGGAATATTGTACGCAAATTAGATGGGTAATAGTTAAAAAAAATCCTTGTCATAGATTATCTGAGTTTAAATATATGTTTGTATAAGCCTATCCGCCTATGATTTCATTTATTTTACAAAACGTTTTTTATTTAATGTCTTATTAAACAAATTCGATGTTATAAACAGGGGTGTATTTACATTTTTAGAGCTTGTAAGTTTGTTGAAAGTCGCTATTCCATATAACTAAAGTATAATAAACTTTGTACCTAATATTACATTTCAAAACCACCGATAATAGATCTGTTGGCTACCAAGTGTTAATAATAATATCATAGTTTCATACAAATAAAAATAAATACTCTATTACGGAATAGACACTTTTACAATTTCATATATATTGTCAATGATAGAAATATTATAAGCTCACATGATAAGTCAAAACTATAGTTTTTAGTTACAGTAATTTTAAAAAATATACCTTTAAAATGTGTTGTCACATAAAACGCCTTATTATAGAGGTACGTGCCTATAGTACTGATTTTCTTGTGAATACTCTACTAATTATAAGATAAATTGACAAAGTACTTCTAAGTAGTTTGTTATCACATTTAATATTTAATAAGTTCTTTGAATACGTTAGTTTTTTGTTAATAACAACATTTATCTTTTATTGAAACTATAAGAAAATATGTTATAAATAAAAATTGACATTTTTTTTTTCATTTTCCAACATTATTTTTTAATACAAATATAGTCTAAAATCAAAAGAAAATATAATATAAATAGGTACATATATATATATATATATATTTTACAAACTATAAAATATCTTTTAAATGTAGTATAAAATAACTATCATAACAAATATAACAAAACGACAATGGTAAAATATCAACAACTTGCAGTAACATTATGAAAACATTTAAAACAAATAATTTACAAAACGTATTTATACATATTGTACCCAGCCAAAACAAATAACATTCACCATACAAAATAAAAACAATAATCGTAAAATAAAAAGTAAACTCTTATTTTATTGGACACCTTTATTTGTAATTTTATTTTGTTAGGTAATTCTAATAGAATTGTTGATAAAAAAAATCATGTTGAAGTAAAAATTTGGCGGTTTTATTTAATTTTAAAGTTATAGTATTTTTAGTTGACTAATTAAAATTCACTAATTTTGTAGTATAGGAATACATCAAATAAACTTCATCAAAAAGTAACTCTTTTTATTTTATATGGTTGAATAAATAATTTTGTTCTTATTTCAATTTGTCAAATACTTGCAAATTCTTGAAACGAAATGATTTCGTTGTTCACTATGATAGTATAATTTATTAAGTATATAAATCAGTATTTACCTACATAAATAATTATACAAAATATGTATGTATCGTTTTAGTTACATATTTTTTCGATTAAAATCAGTTATTGTTTTTGTTCGCTTGGATTATTTCCAAACACTTTAAGTTCATTTCTCAATACTTTGCCTGATGGATTACGCGGAATCACATCTAAGAATTTTACGCCACCAGCTAATCTTTTGTATGCCACGACATTGCGTTCTACGTGGCTCATTATAGTTTTTTCATTGATGTCCATACCAGGTTTCTTTACAATAAAAGCTCTAGGTATTTCTCCGGACAACACATCTGGTATACCTACAACGGCCACATCAGCAACCTCCTTCAGTTGAATAATTAAATTTTCTAATTCGGTTGGAGATACCTAAAAATGAATGCAAAAACATTTTAAAATAAACTTCTTTAAATACCCATTTAAGTAACTATTTTTATTGATAATTATAAATTTATGTTAGTTAATGTTTAACAAAATAAGTTAAAAGCCAAACATGTTATTGGCAGAAATCCATATTTTTTCAATTGGGAAATTTCCAATCTAGATCCTATTAATTTAAAATAAAAAAATTTGTGATAATTGTATAATATATACATACATGGTAATAATAGTACCAAAGACACAGAATAATTAGGTATTTTTATAAAATTCTCGATTTCGTTCTTCTTTTTAAAATGTTCAATTAATCTTGGTTTAACCCTATGGTGACATTATAAAAAGGGTTTGAATGACCTGTGGTTCTGTCTATATCGAGACACATCAGAAAAGGCATACGGAATTAAAAATCGGAGAAGAACTTAAACGACAGATTTTATTCAACACGCGTACAACTATAAATAGAATCTATACTAAATTCTATTAATAATATTGAACGTAAGTTTGTGATACGTTACAACGACATCAAAATTTATTGGAACAAAAATATTTCAGACATTTTAAAAGGAATCGAACGATTGAAGTGAAAAAAATGAAAAATTGCCAATGCTGTACACGGTGTTATTTTATCGAGAAAGCGCATCTTGCCGCAATGTTGACATTCGAATTGTTTCCATGATATGCGCATGCGCCTGACGCCCAACGCAGCGCGGAACTACAGAACACCGTTCTTATCTATTTACGATGTGCGTTTTTTTTGTTTAGTGCCCTACGGACGGATGAATTTGTTGTTTTTTATTATTAATTCTTTATTTCTCTCACTGTATTTTTAGTAAAGACGTTTGTAATTTGCACAAATTAATAGTATTTTCGTTTTGTCTGACTGCCATCGCTCGTGCTTGTGTTTTATTCGATTTTTCTGTCTGAACTATTGATCGAAATCGGTGGACGCAGGACACAACGCACGCAGGTACGCCGCTTGATGTTACGGCTAGTTACCGACAATGATCGAAAACGCGGAACTAGTTATGCAGATGCTAGAGATGTACCAGATGTACAAGCAACAGGTGCCCGTGGAGCTAGAAGAGTACCTTAGGTACGTCGCTAAGACAGGTAACACGCTATTTCAATGGTCGTTAGTCAAACCATTCATACGCGAAAAGATACTGAACGTCATTGCTGAGTTTGCTGACCAGTCTGCGCTTGCTGACATACCTCCGTACCCGAATGTTGATCCATTCAACTACGAGGCCATGAAGACCATGTTGCTGGAACGTTTCGACACTTTCAATGGGCCACCATTCACCATACAGAGGCTCTGTGAGCTTTTGTCCTGTCCAAGAAAAGAGTATAACCGTGTGGACAAATTTATGCGTGCTGTTGAAAAGAACATATTGGTTGTTAGCACTTGCGAGTTGAGGTCAAAACATGAAGATATTATTGTCAACGGTGTTCCAGATCATTGGGAAAACGGAAAAGAATCTGATATTACCATGGACTTAGTTGATAAAAGTAATGTTGTCTCAGATATTAATGTTTTGAATGGTAATGAAACAGTCGAAAGTCTTTTGAACGAACTTGAGTCAATGAAAACACCAGAAACCAAACAAGATGAAATCAAGACAGAACTTAAAGATCACATTGTTGTTGCAGAAGTTCCCGACGAAGTTGAACAAGGTCTTCCAACTGAACAACCCACACAAGATATTCCTCAAATTGTAATCACTGAAGATACACCACCTCAGATTATAGAGTCTACAGAAGAAGTAGAGAAAATTAACACAGATTTTGTTGAAGTTATTCAGGAATCTATGGTTGATTTGCCAAAAGAGCAAATCTCTGAAGTCTGTGAAATTCAACCAGTTGTAGTAAAAGAACAACCAAATTCTGTTGAAGAACAGAAGGAAATATCTTATGATATAAATCTTGAAGTCAACGAACCTAATTCTAAAGAACCGATAATAGAGGGTAATAATTTGGATCATTCTGAATTAACATCAACAGATGCAGATCGAATAGAAGGTTCAATTATTCATCAAACCCCAGATTCTGAAAATAATGTGGAATTAGATACAGCTGCTTCACAATCAGAAATTTTATCTGATAAATCAAAAAAAGGCATTGAAAATATGGATGTTCAAATTGAGGAAATATCTAAATGTATTAAACCAGAAATAAAATGTGATAATATACAAAAAGAAAATACAGAACCAACAGGTATTGATGAAAATGACAAAGAGCAAGATGATGCATCTTCTGTTGATGTTAACTTGTCAGCTATAGACACAATTTCTACAAAAATGGACATAGAACTTGATAAAATTGAAAATGATCTTACCCAACAAGAAGTTATACCAGTAAATGAAGAAACAGAGGCAGTTGAACCTAAGACAATACTTGAAGCACCTCAAGAAAAGGATGAAAACAAATTGACTGAAATTGAATAGTCTTGGTAAATATTAGACCTAAAAGATATTTTAAACTTTGACTGGTTAGGTTAATATTGAAATTGTATCTATTAGATAGGTAGGTAAAGTTAAAAAATTAATAATTTATGTACATGATAAAATACTTTACAAAATTATTTGCAAATATTGCTACTTTCATTTAATTTTTTTTCCTGTATCATTTGAATAAATAAAAAAATACTATTTTTTTTTTCTAGTTTTCAAAAACCTGGTAATTTTGAATAAATTATTTTTTTATTACAAATTTGTTAAAATATTTAAAAATTCATGTATTGTTAAACTACAATATATTATTAGAGTGTATACTCAATACTTCGGTACTACTAATTATTACATATTTTTCTTTTGGCATTTCACATTATTGTTAAAAATAAAGGTTATATTTAAGAAAGTACTAATATAGACCTTGCTTATTATTAACTTATTTTCAACTAAATAAAATCAAACTATATTTATCTGTATATATTCATTCCTATTTTAATGAATTTGTAAAAACATAATCTATAAAATACTATATTTTATTTTTGAATTCACATATGAAATATTTGTCTTTTAAATAAAATTTGAATGTATGATCTATATTTTATTTTATATTCAAGTGTTAATATTGAATCAAATGTTGGTCTTTTGTGTATGGTATACTAAGAAAAATACTTAAATAATTTAATATTGGTAAATAAATGTCCATTTAAAATCCTATTACTTTAAATATTAATTATACATTATATGTATATCTATGAGTTGTTTAATAATTAAAAGATTGTTTGAATATATTATTATTTATAAAAAAAAAAGTTAAAATAAACTGTTCATTATTTCATTTAAAAAAGCTTCTCAGATCTACCTTTGTGCATTACTTCTTAAAATAAGTATACTGCTAATTGCCGTCTATAGGTTTATTTTTAAATTCTACTAAATAGTTATTCTCATAGAAGAAAAGAATTAATAATTCATGTTTTACTGATAAAAATTGATTGCATAATTTTTAAATATTCATAAAAAAATAATATTCATGTATAATTGATTATGTGTAATTTAGGTACAGAGAGTAAACAAGTGTCTTAGGTGTTGATAATTAATTAAACTATTAACAATTATTAAATTCTTGGCTACCAATTGTTAGTTTAAGTAATTCAATTATATGGATTTTAAGTATATAATTGACCTTTTCTCATAAAAATTTATTTAATTATATTTAATTATGATTTATTTTTATATAAATGTTATAACTCATAAAATTTTATATTATTTGATATTTAATATTAGTACCTTCAGTTAATATCTTGGTATATAGATTTTTTTCTGATAGGACAATGAAACACCAATAAATATATTTATGATTTACTACTAAGTCAAATTAATTTTAGAGTTAATTATCAATTGATTAATACCTGCAAAACTGTAAACAACTCATCATAAATGATTTAAACTCGATACCAAAAATTTATTAAAACTCATACTCAAATGATTTGATAGTAAATTTACTTTTCATGGTTTCTTAGGATGTGTTCAATTAATATTAATTATTTTTTGTCTGCATTATGAAAAAGGATTAACATTTTCATCAGACAATGAAATATTGTAAACTGTAATAAATATTAGAATACTGATGCTAATTATTTCAATCACAATAATTCTAAATATAATGAAACATACAGCGGTGGTCAAATGATGGGGAGTAAGTAGATCCCTTCTTAACCTTTTTATTACTTTTATTTTTACGACATTATAGCATGACAATTATTAAGTATTTAAAATACAAAGAGAAAAATAATAATTAATTAAAAATAAATAAATAATTAGATAACAATTAATAGTAATACAATATTTTAAATGCGGAAACTAGCGTTGGAGATTACATTCATGATGAATGCGATGACGGAGGGAGATCGAGAATTGAGGAGAGGGATTACATTAGGAGAGGTGTAACCTAAGGAAGAGAGTTGTGAGTGTGATAAATTATGGAGATGAGTAAGAGACGGGTAAGAGAAGAGAATGTGATGAAGGTCACATACGACTTCGTGGTTGTGAGGAGTGTAAAGGGAAGAGGAATTAAATGAAAGGAGAAATTAATGAGGAGGGAGAAGATTATGTCCAAAACGAAGACGAGATAAAGAGATAATTGTGGATTGGGGTAGGTCCAGATCACGAAACCAAGGGGAGTTGAGTATGCAGGTGGATATAGATCGGTGCCAGGTAGCGTTGTTAGGGAGAAGAGAAGGCCAAAGGTCAGTCCATGCTTTTTTAAAGTTTTGAGAAGAATGGAAAGGAACAATTATGTTTTTAGTAGTGCTATTTTGTATTATGTTTAATAATATACTGCCTATATAATTTTTTTTACAATTATTTGATAAAACATTCACAAATTTTTAAATCATTTTTTTTGTGATATTAAAAAAAATTGACTGTCAACCAAAAAGTTATTACTAGAGTGCGGATTTTTATGTAAATACATAATTTTATTGAATGTAAATATCTCATTTCCGATTAAAAATAAGTACGTTTCATAACACCTTGAATAATATGAGACTTTTTTATTTTATATATTCACACATATTTTTAAATATTTCACCTATATTTATATATTTGTAAATATTTCAAATTTTCCTACCTATACAGTTTTTATTTGTATTAAAATTATCATATTGAAATTAAATTAAAGAAATATTAAAGAAGTTATTTCAAATATTTAGATGCAAATCGCTATTTCTGATATTATGTAAAATAATGACCTGAAAAATAATTAAGTATTTATTGTAATTATTTTTAGTAATCATTAGTAGTTGTGTTTCCTCAATTTTTTTTTCTTGGTTAAAGTAATAAAAATAATTAGAAACATTAAATCTAACAATAATTGAAAGTCTTGCGATAAATTAAGTTCAAGAGGAATCTGGAGATATAATAATAAAAAAAATAAATAAATAAAATACGTACTTGGTGATAACGTTGGTTTAAAAAAAAATAATACTATTAGAGTTATTGTTATGAACAAAAATGAAAATAGGTACGTCAAATGATACTGGAGTAATACCATTCGACATATTTGGTATAAAATATGCCCTATTAACCTCCGTCGACGTTGAATGCACCTTAAGCCGCTATGAGTCGACTTTGAAACCTAACCATCGTACATTAAAATTTGAAAATCTCCCAATTTACGTTTATCTAATGGTTTTGAAGAAGACAACAATGAAAATCATAAGATACATAATTATTAATTAGTAATTAAAAATTAATATAAGGTACCAATTATTTTGTTAAATATTTCATGTTTTTTATACATGAAATATTTATGTTTTTTAATACATTTGTATTTAGGCAAAAATAAGAACATAAATATTTACATATTTTGACATTTTTATTACATAAAAATCTGCGCCCTAGTAATTACTCTATACTAACTATTACTCTATACTCTAACTACAGCTGTAGCTGTTTTACAATCGTGTTTTCACTTGTTAAGTTTTTTTTCTATTTCTGTTATAATACCTTCTATTATTGAAGTGACCAGTAACCAAAAGTATGGTCATAATGATACCTAACAATAATAATAACTAAAATCCTTATTCATTTTTTAATATGTGGTGTGTACAGAGTACAGAATATTCTGTGCTATTTTTATCATTTAAATTTTTAGCTCATGGGTTAACGTGATAAACAATTTGTGTTCTGCTTGTGTTTTTATTATTTTTTCTAATAAGATATTAAGTGTTTATAATGTCTAAATCTAAAATGACGAACCACTCTGCTGTAGCAAACAGCAACAGCTCTAAATATATTTTATTTAAAAATATTTTTACAGTTTGTGCTATTAAAATTAGTAAATTTATTAAATATTAATTAAAATCAACATTTTTTATTAAATAATCAGTTATCACTTACTTGATTTCCTTTAACTTTTATTAATTCTTTTGTCCTATCAACGACGTAAAAGTACTCATCATCATCATAATATACAACATCACCTGTGTGTAACCAACCATCTTCATCTAAAGTTTCTTTAGTTGCTTTTTCATTATTAAGATATCCTGCCATAATCTATATTAAAATGAATTAAAACATTATCATACACATTAATTAATGTACAATAATATTATAAATAATTATTATTACTTGAGGTCCTTTGACTAATAGCTCTCCAGATTTATTTGGACCTAAGTCATTACCATCAGTCAAACTAACCACTCTGGCTTGAGTACCTCGTACAAGTTGTCCTGCACTACCTGTTTTATCTGCAGGCAAAGGATTCCTAGTATATAAAGTCACTGGAGAAGACTCAGTCATTCCATAACCTAGGAACATTTAGTTTAAAATAATAAAGTACAAAAACATAATTTACGGGTATGTCAAAAATATTTATTGTGTTGGTAAATTGTTCAGTATTTATTTTTGAATGTGTAATTACTACTTTTTATTTATTAATTTCAAATTAAATTTTTTACAAAAAACCAAGTAGGTACGCCACGATAACGGACGCAAAATTCTGACCATACTCCAATGTTTCATCAATTAATATTTTAGTAGGTAATTGTTGTCATCACAATGTCTAAATAATTGATTATTTTGCATTTCATGTTCAAACTATGAAAACATGAGTATGCACAAATATTTTTTAGAGAATATTTTGTAAGTAAAAACATAATATAATTTAAGGTTATTGTAATTTAAAAAGGTATAAATTGTATTGAAAATTATTTTTTTCAATGTTTAAAAAGAGTTTTATTTTATATATTACTTATAACTTTATAAGTATAAATTGTTGATAAAAAATATATAGTAGATCAAAATATTTATTTCCTTATAATATCTTTTATAAACTTCAAACTGTAAGTATAAATAAACAAATAGCACCTCATGGGTAAGTATAAATAATTGTAGTGCATAAAAATATCTCTTACACTATTTTTACGCTTTTAATAGATGTGTCAGGCACTGGTTCTACGGAGAGGGGTGAAAGGGTTATCTCCCCAAATCCCCCTAACCTCCTTTTTTCATACGCAGAAATAAAAACTATTCAATTATTGATCATTTAAGAATCCTTAAATTGTAGTCCATTAAATGAACAATATGAACAATTAATGTCATACAGTATCAGTTAGTATTTCTTGTACATCAAGCCATACACCAATAATTGTGTTGAGTTTTGTATCAGTCGATAATATTATACAATTTACTGCAATAAAAATTATTGAAATGTCGTTATCTTCGCTATTGCAGAAAAGCAGTTGCGTGTTATTTCTTTTATTCGTCGTTTCGAGTCATTTACGTGAAAAAAAAAACTATAGTTCTTTATTAGTAAATCCTGAATTAAAAAATATACATTCTCCTCGTAAGACATTAAATAATAAATATCATAATTACCATCCAATACAAACATAATTTCTTAAAATTTTAATTACATTGCCAATTTCTGTCACAGAAGCCGAAAGATATTTTTTCTCTTTAAAACTGCTTAAAACTTGATTAAGGACAAACATGAAAGAAAAAAAATTGGCAGGGTTGGCTCTTATGTTTATCCACAAAGGTATACTCGTAAATAATGGTAATGAAAATAACATAAAAAATATAATTATAAGATTTTTAAAATAAAAACCATGAAAACTTCGCTTTGTAATACTATAATATTATGTTATTTTATTCTTTTAAAATTGTTATAAAGCTTAAATTTGTCATTAAAACTACAATTTAACATACATATATCCTATTTATAAATATATATATGTATAGCCTCCCCTCCATGAAAAATGTCTGGATCCACTGGATCCCTGCTGTGAGTCAGTTCCATTTGTACCAAGAATGTAATTTTTAGTGTTAGTTACAATTTTGTGTCAGTAGTAACACGGTTTAATGGTGTAAAAATTCATTTTTCACTCAAAACAAATAATTTTGTGGTTAAAAAAAAATAAGAACCAACAAATAAACATTAAAACAATAAAAAGAAAAATTAAAATTAAAAAAATTAATAAATGGTTAATACTCACAAAATATTAATTGAATAAATAAACAAATATTTTATATGTAGAAGTAAATAAATAAATAAATAAATAAATAAATAAAATCTTAGCAAGGAGTCTTAATATTATTTTTAAGTATGATCGGTAAGAATTAAAAATTCATCATCAGGTGTATATAAAGTTAATAAAATTGCAACTGAATATGAAAAATTTGCAATTTTAATTTAAAATTTGTCATATTTTGCAAATATAATAATATCACAAACTTAATTTTTATTAATTAATTTATTTTTAAATATAAACTGTTTGTTTATTTATTTATATATTAAATAAACATTACAGATAATCTAATGACATTTTTTTACACACATTATACGTCTTGATATGCGATATATTTATGTATTATAATTTATTAGGTAATTCCTTTTTTTTAGAACACTCTGTATAATGTAGTTTACGCAGTATACAATATACCTTCCCAATTCAAAATATTATGGCTATCATATTCATAAACTAGATATTATAAATATTAAACAACAAATTATATCTAACCTTGTCTAATATTAATGTCTTTTTGAGCTTTTTCTAGAAAATTGTCAATTAAAGCCTTTGATGCTGGCGCAGCACCGCAAGTGATTTCTTTGATTGAACTTAAATGTTCTTTTTTTACAGCCGGATGAGAGGCTAGGAACAATAATAATGAAGGCACCACAAACAGAAAAGTTGGCTAAATCATAATTACATATTTGAATGTTAAATATAGTTGTTAATGTAAAAATATTGTTTATCATTATTTGTATTTAGTGGGTACCTTATATTTAAGTACACATTCTATATATGATTCTGGAGTGAATTTTGGTATAGTTATAATATGAAGACCATGTGATAAAACTCCATTTAATATCCCATTGAAACCGTAAATATGGAAGAATGGAAGAACACTCAAAACCCTTTCTTGGTATGTATCTGAAAATAAACCGATCGTTGTATATAGGTTCAAATTAAAAATTAAAAATAGTTTATAGTTTAATAGTATTACCAGTTGTTGGCAAATAACTGATAATTTGTTCGTGATTACACTGTTCTAAATTTATAGCACAGTTACTATGGGTTAACATGACACCTTTTGGGAGGCCCGTGGTACCACTTGAGTAAGGCAATAAGGCAACTTCGTGTGCAAATGACTGAGGTATTTTATTGGGTTTTTGTTCCGAAACTATGGTTTTGAAATCATATACGCGGGCTTTTGCATTCGCAACTTCTTCACCTCCAAATACGATAGTACCGACATAATCTTTCAAATTAGGAGATACTTCATGAATAACCGGGAGTAATAAAGATATTGTCATGCAAAGTTTTACTCCTGCGTTTTCGAACTGCCGCTTTACCTCCACTAAAAATAAAATAAAAACCATTCGGTTAGACAACTAAAATTTAATTAATGTAGTACCTAGGTATACAAATAATGTGATGTATCTTACTAGCAGTGTAAAGTGGATTAACAAATGTTACGACTAGTCCTGCCTCAAGAGCCCCGTGAATTGCAAAAACGTATTCTGGCATATTCGGCAACAATAACCCCACAACGTCACCTTTTTTCAAACCAAATTTTGTTATAAGTGTACTAGCGAATAATTTGCAAATCATGCGACCTTCGCCGTATGTGTATGACCTGCCACTACTACCACATGTCTAAAAATTAAAGTATTTAATTTTAATTAATATTGTATATTTATAATGAGTGATATTATTAAAATCAAAACTTATAACTAAGATTTGTTATTACATCAATTATTCGAGTATGAACGAGGAAAATTTTTTTTTATTTCTTCAGATATATGTTTAAATAAAATCTACATATTTTTTAATAAATAAACAATAAAAATATAAAAGTATGAGATAATATTGATATTATATATTTATTACATTCTAAATTCCAAATTATACATTCAACTATTACTCAACATTTTAATACGAGCTACACGTTTTTAGAAATAACGAAATATAACATTTAACAGCCACACAAAAATAATTTTTTATTTTCTGATTCTCAAATAATTTCTAATGATTTTCAATTTTAAATAATAAGTAAAACTATTTTAAAACTTATCAAAAACAAATAAAACAATGCTTTGTTGAATAACCATCATATTTATTTTCCACTTAAATTCTTATGCTTACTATTTTTTTATAATTAATTAAAAATATAAAATAAATATTAATTGTAGGTAAGTACCTAATAACCTACGATAGCTGAAAGAATAAATTGAACAAACAATTATTAATATTTGAAAAATCATAGATATTATAGTATGATACATATACATAATCCATTTGTTTTATCTGTTTTATAATAAATTTGCATAAAAATAAAACAATACATTGTTCTTTAAAATGTTTGGACATGTATAACAAGTAGTAAAATTAGTTCTACAGTATATAGTGCCATTGTATATAATGACTTTTGTTTTTTAACTTTTCTCGAATAATTTAATACGCATTTATCGTATTATAAATAATTGATAATATGAGTATATTATGATTTATTAATATGAATAAATAAACGCGTTACTATTTTTGTTCTAGTTAGGAATAGGTTTATAGGTATCTAATGTAACATTATGATTATTTAAATTGGCATATAGTAATGTTTCAACAGTAAAACATTACAAATTGTTATTCTAGAGCAACAAATAAACTTGGACTTTTGACAGCTATACGTCAAGTATACTGTAACCAGGAAATGAAAAACAAAATATCAGCGTCTTTCGCAATCAATTTTTGGTACCCAGTATTAGTTATTAGGTAATACATAAATTAACCAATTTAAATATTGAGATACAGTCAAAAGTCTATAATATATATAATACTTAGCAAAAATAGATTACCGCAGATAACCATTGAATAATAAACTCGGCAAGGTCGAGGTTTTCTAATATTATTAAACTATGTCATTCGTGTAGTCACTGTTTACAAGACAGCTATATAGGTATATAAGTTTAGATTTTATTTAATATATGAGATTATTTTCATAATTTCATAATTTGCATCACAATAATTATTAATTTTGGTGACCGCTTATTAACAATTAAAATTCGACAATAATAACATTATGCCATCGTGTATAAATTATCGCTTTATAATTCTGTTACAAATTAAAAATAATACAATCTTCATAGCTTTAACTCAAATACTAATCATCTCATCAAAAATAATGGCTACTCCTTATATTTCCGATAAACCTCCTCGCAAGGTAAAACGTAACTAGTACCTTGATTTTATTTTTTAATAATCTTAAATTTAATTGATAAATTTTAAAAGGTGTTAACAATGGTTTATTTCCTCTACAATTATTTTAATTGTATGTGTATTTATATGTATATCCAAATTACTTAATGTGCTAATAGTACAGATTGTATTTTATTCCCAATAAAAATAAATAATATGAAATTTAATTTAATGTTAATTGCTTAATATATAAATATTTTATAATTCATAATTAAATTACTAAAAATGGATAAACCTTAAACGAATAATTGATTTTACAAAATAAAAGGATATGAGAAATCTCATTTAATCACATTTGTGAATATTATCATTGATTATATTTAATGTTTATATTTAAATGAAAAATATAGAAATATTAAAGCCTATATTATAAACTTAAATATTAAAAGATAAATAGTAATACAAATGGAAATTTCAATATGAGTATGCAATTTGTATATCTATACATACATATAACAAATGCAGGAAATGTGCAGTTAAAATAAAAATCGTGACAATTATTGTTGAGTATACGTTGGGCACTAGTTAATTTAAAAAATAGTATTACGTAAACAATATTTATCTGACACTCACGACCATAAATACATTATTACTATAGTAGGGGTCTCATACATCCCATATTTTTATGAAACATCCTGGTGTCTCGACAAAAGTTCAAAAATAACACTTTTATCCCGTATTTTTTATAACCCATCCCTGATGTACCTTATTTAAAATTATTTCAAAAATGTAATCATAAATTATAATATCTAAATCAAATGATAATTATTTCATTATGATAATAAAATTCTGAAAAATAAATAAAAACTATCTTTTAAGATATTTTATTATTCTATTATATGAGTATTAAGTATGTTTTTAGTGTTTTAGTAATAAAAATGCCAAGTATATAGTTCTAAAACCTATTTAAAAATTAACTTTTATATAGTAGCCAAATTATAACGTTTTAATTTTGAGAGACTACCCCCTCACTACCAACCACTAATTAATATCTATGTATAATACAAGAACAAGTATAAATATGATTTAAAATGTCCTGAACTCTTAAAAAATAAATCTGAGATTCCCAGATTATAATTAACTTACTGATATAGATAAATTAAAAATTTGAATTAAACACATTTTTAATATGCCTTATTCATTTATAGCTTATTCAATTGATGTAAGCTATTTCACATTTTTAATTTATTTTTTATAACAATCATCATTAGTTATGGACTAGTCAGGTACTTAATTGGGACTTAATTTTGGGAGGGGGGATTCATTTTATCATCTTGTAGTAATTTTAATTATAATGACCGGTGTGCTGTTATATAGATTAAAAATATTGTTGTTCATAATAAATAAATTAAACAACAGTAGCAGTTAATTTTTACAAAGTTAAATCATACCGATTTAACTAAATTTTAGAGAACCGTTGAATGACGTATTTAATGGAAATGTTTTATTTCTTTATGAATGTTTAATAAAGCTATTCCAAAAAAATAGTTTTAATTGTCTATATATACATCATTACTTATCTCATAGGAATTATTATTAACATTACCTAAATTTTACAAATACAAATAATTGTAATAGTACTTAGTATGTTGAAAAATTTTAATTTACAATAAATAAAAAAAATACGGTAGATTATATAATATTTATATAATCTTATTAAATAATCCATAATACGGGCTTAGATTAGATTGTTTCCATCACCCCCTTCAAATACGTGCCTAAGACCAATAGTATAATGTAAAATTCAATTTCTCACATATAAAACAATTTTACATACATATACGTATTAAATAAATGTATACAAGTATATAATATAATATAATAATACAAGTCTTACTGTTTTCATGTGCAGAAATATGCGTATTGCTGAGATAAAAATATTAAATTCATGAGTATTTAAGAAATAGAGATTAATAAGCTATACTATAAATATCTATAACTTATAAATATAAATGCGAGAAAAAACGAAAAAGATTTAGAAAGTTATTACAAGTAGCATCATATGAAATGTGCTTATCTAAAGGTTATTGTCTCTTAAAAAAAAATCTCTTTATGCGTCAACTGTGTGCATAAGAAGTGTGATAAGTAATAATTACAGTTAATTGTTTGTTTTTTACCACCTAAGCCGGACTTCATATTTAACCATTAAACACGGGTTGATAGAACAATAGGATATTTCAATGAACAAAAATCGAATAAAAAATATTAATGAACCCAAAGTTCAAAATAAATTCATAACAATTATAATTGTATTTTATATTTAAAAGTTATCGAAATGCGTTTAAAACTTAAATTTAGGATAAAAGCTATTTCTGTGTCTTGTCTCTTATGACATGGACTTTATAAATGGACTTAAAACATCATTGGTTTTGGGAAAAATAATATAAATAATTTAAGTGAACATAGTAGAATTAAAACATATATAATATACCCAAAAATCATAATATATAAGTATGCATCGTGGTTTTCTTTGAATAAATTTTAATGAATTTGCATAAATGTAAAGTGTAACATATTATGTACATTATATTTTAAGACTTAAATTAAAAATAATATTTACAGTATGTTAATCTTAATAACAACAATTATTTAGTTTTTGTTAACACGTTTTATACTAAAGAACATTTTGCGTATTTATAAATATGATATCACCGTTAAAACCATTGAAATAAATACATAAATAAAAGTTTTTTATTAATGCAATAAAAGCCAAAGCATATATAAGCAATGAATAATGATATATGTTTATGAATTTTAAATTTTGCAAATACTAATTTATATGGTAGTTATTCATTAATACTTAACTTGACGTTAATAATTTGCAATATATAATAAGCACTAAAATTACCCATACTCACTGTTGTGTAGTATATTATTACTTTTGCCTTTGTCACATTGTAACATAAATTAAGTATTCAATATTTGTTTTAAACTACCTCTACTCATAAAGAATGATAAAAAATGGGTTATCTATATTTTTTATAATGTACTTAATGATGTTAAGCAAAAAAATAATCAAATATTGCAAATGAGTTTAGTTATTAATATGTTAAATAACAAAATAAAATCATTGAAAGTTCTTTAAAATATTAAGATTTGTAATGTACTTTGGAAAAATATTAGGTATAATGTAATTTAGCAATAAATATCTTAATTAATATTTGTATTTTCAATACTCATTGTAATTTTCTCATAGTTCAATGCTTATACTTATTAATTAAAATTAATTACCTCCAGATACATATTTTTAATATTATTTATCATAAATAATTTGTTTACTTTTACCTCATTATATAAAATCAATTAGTATTAACCAAATATTGAGCCGTGACAAAACTTTAATGGTCCCTTATGTATTTTTAATTTAGAAATATAATATGATGTTATTTTCAATAATTGCTTTAATTGCTATAAAAACGCGAAGTTTTTATTAATAAAATATACAACATTGACCGTTACAATTTTTAACATAAAATGGAAATTTTCTATTTTTGCTCCCTCCTAGAATTGCGTCTGAAGTGTATGCACCTTTAGTCCCCTAGCTACAGTCCTATATAAAATATATCTAAATATTATATATTGTTTGTGTATTAAAATTGTAACTATATTAACTTATTAAATCTTTCATATAAAAAACACACGTATTTTTATATATTTTTTATTGTTTTATATAATTTGTGTTGTATTGTTATGTTTAATTTTTTGAAAAATTTAAATTGAATCCATTTCAGTTCACTATGGTTTTAAAAACCTAAAATAAAATTGTATTATTATAGCATGTTTATTTTAATTTTTAAAATACGTATTTTATTCCAATTTATTATTGCGAATTTATTAGTATATATCATATATAGTATCTTGTATATTGGATACCTTTTATTAATGTTTTTTTTTGTCATTTTTAATTTTTTTTTTTTTTTTAATAAGTGTTGCATTAATTTAAATATCAGTTTTGCGAATTTAGTTGTTTTAAGTGATTCTTAATGTTTGCACTATTTGTGTTAAAAAGTATAAATATTTTAAACATATATTATTAAATTATAATTAATAATGTCGCACTTGTTAATTAAACTGTTTAAATGTTTTGATAAATTATACCTATTACAATTTTCGCAAAAATATAGGATAACGTATTACCATTGATTATAAATACCATTAGTATTTATAGTAATAGTATTTATAATCAATGGTATTACACTATAAGGAACTTAACCTTATACAACGAATAAATTATAAAAAGATTTTCATTGTTAATTTCAGTAGTAACAAAATATTACATAAAGTTTAAAAATGAAGTATCAATACTTGATCGTAGTCTAATTGAGCTACTACATCACATTATTCAACCTAAAATACCAATGAATGTTATAGCTGTAGGTATGTTTACGAATAAACCAAAATACCAGTCAATGCTTTCATTATGTTTATGAATTATATTATTGTTATTATAATTAATAATTATAAACTACCTCTAACAATATTTATATGATGAAAATAACAATAATCGGTATGGTAGGTTAAACGTATCTTTAACTACTTCTGCGTAAATATGTGCATTTTACGCATGAATACATTTTAATATGAACTACTATCGGTTACCAGCTATATATTACACGTATCTATATAGGAATATCCATAAATTACGTTATTACGTGCGAGTGTTGTCATAAATGTATCAAAAAGATTGATTACCTACCCTATATATTTGTTATATTATATACCAAATGATTGAAATTGGTTTTGTAAATTTACTTTCATTATTGTGACCATGCAAATATTATAATATTTTACTTAATCATGCTACTACAATATGCCTACGGAATATATTTTATTCCAAATACCGTTAACAACGAACACAGCTATACATGTTTGGATATTTACTTAAATTTTTTAACAAACTGTTAGATGTTGCATTGTATTTATCATTTTTATCTCTATCCTCTTTTGAATTGTATTGAAAAGACGTGTTACAATTTGATAAGGTAACTGGTTTTAAAATTCGATAAAAATATTACTATTGGAGTGGCGAAGAGAATGAGGATAAACGACACGTAGAAATTATTCGAAATACCATCATTGTTAATAATAAATAGTTATAAACAAAGTCATGAATTTTAATTCACACGCAATGAAACGTAAGGATTTTACATTTTGAACATAGTTACCCAATGATTAAATTCTTGTTGAATTACAACAAAAACATTTTGTTCAACTGATATACCACCACCAACTATACTCTTTATTAATTACAGTGTTCGTGGTCGTGAATTGCAGACAAAAGTGCAATTGACATGATAAGATTATAAAATAAAATCGCGATAATTCTGTTTTAATTAAATTGAGATCAAATCGAAGTAAAAATCCATTTGGCTTTGTTGGTGAGCCAAGTATTTTTTTCAAACGTAAATGGTATCTACAAAGGTGAATCTGCGCGATGTGAACAATTCGAAAAGTCTCATCGCGCGTCCTATATGTTTACACGGCAGGCCCGACGACTTACGATCATCGGCTTGTCCTCCCACTTCTCAACGTTCCTCCAGATGTAGTCGTGCAACGTGAGGTCCATAGGCTTGACGGTGCCGAACGGAGAGTCGAGGATTATGGACCCGGAGGCCCCGGCGGCATCGCTGCTGTACACGCGCAACGTGGCGCATCGCGACGACTGCGCAGTGGCACGGTGGCCTGCCGCTTTGGGACACTTGCGCAGTGGCCCGTTGAACATGCGACGGGCGCCGCTCATCACTCTCAGTCGGTCCATGCCGCGGGTCGATGCGTTGGAGTTGGTGCGCCTATCGAGACGGCAAGGCTATTGTTGCACCGGTGGTGTGCAACGGACTCTTTGTCCCCGTACCGGTTTCGGTGGAGTGTATGAAACGCGTTCGCCGGCACCTTCGTCGGGGTCGGTTTGCTACCGATTGACCGGGAAATTAAATAATAGCGCGAGCGTGGGCGGACGTCGGTAAACGGACGAGCGGAGAGAATCGGGAAAATACAGACGCACGTCGCTGCACCGGCGGACGGACGGGAAACGACTGGGACCGTGAAATGTTTGGCAGCGACTGACGAACACAATATCGTGGGTCACGCACGTAAACATGCAACACGTTGTCGGCCACCGCCGCCGCACATTTCACGACCGACCGAACGGCAGGCGGCAAGTTCCGCGTACGGCGCGTATTGCATTGTACCGTGTACCGCACGCTCACCGTCGTCCGGTCGACCGTCCGGACCACGCGGTGTATACGGAGCGGTCGCGCGCGCATTGAAACGCGTGTTGGCCGCTACGTCGACGTCGAACGGTTGTTGTTGTTGTTTACGCGTGGCAACAACGCGAACACTACATCACCAGGTCATTATCGCAGGCATGAGGCGGTCGAATTTTTCATCGATGCTGGATCGCAAACCTTGTCGCAACCAAATCTCGGACGGGGCGTGTTGTTGGCGCGTTGTCAACCACAAAAACTGTATGGATTTGGGAAGATTGGAAAAAAAAAAAAATTTTAACAAAGTCTGGTGAATAATATAATAATAAAATAATCTATGTATACATAAAAATGGATTTATGTTTGTTTGTCCGTCCTTTATGCGTTCCTAAACGGTTGGACCGATTGCGACGAAATTTGGTACGGACCAATGCTCGATTTGGCAAAATTAAAGAAAGGGGACTATGTTTACTTTAAAAAGAAAACGTCCCCCAAACTTGTTAAGCGTTACAATTATAACGTAATAATAGTAGTAGGGGGACGCTAAAATTTCTAAAAATTAATTGGGGTACTCCGTCCCCCTGCAGAAGATAGGTTAAAATAGTTAAACAGTGATAGACATAACCCCGGGAGGTCCTCAAACAGACATTTTGAGATTTACAATGGACATTTTTGTTTATAGATGGTTGCTACTCGTTTCATTAGTAATAGTAATTAGTGCGAAACAAATCATTTGTTATTTTGTTATGCATTTGTTATTATTATTTTTTGTTATTTGTTTCCGTGTTAAAGACGAGATGTACTTTTGCCACGCATCCCAATGATTCCAACAGATACGCCTTTTGAATTGAAACGTTTACAGTTTCCGATACGACTCACCTTTGCAATGACCATCAACAAAGCACAAGGACAATCGCTACAAGTGTGTGGACTGAATTTGGAAAATCTATGCTTCTCACGCGAACAAATGTATATGGCATGCTCGGAAAACCTTCTGATTTATTTGTGTACGAACCAGAAGGAAGAACAAAAAATATTTTGTATCCAAATGCACTTCAATAAGTATCATTCAATAGAATACTTGAAGTGTCAGACTTTTCTTGATAAAACGAATAAAATTACATAATGATAAACTAAATTTAATGTCGTTGTAAGATTATTACGTAGTATATTTTAACCGTTATCTATCCATATGTATAAAAATATAACGCTAGCATAATCACAGGTAACGAGTTTAACACACAGTTTGACACATATAAAAGGTGAGATTTTTAACGGGCTACGAAGTGTACGAGTTCAGCTAGTATAGTATAAAATACAATAATACATTTTTAATTATATATCCAACAATGTCGGTGACAAATTTGGAAAACGCATTCGTCCAAACCTCAAACATTAAAAAAAATACGTTTAGTTTTCGTAAATATTTCAAATGAAAATGATGCCGCAGCGCGTGCTACGTAATTTTACATGTTAAAAAGGTATAAAGAAAACATTTTGGGTTCAGTAAAGTTTAAAACCAAAAAAGATATATAGTTGTAGTGACATTATGATGGATTTTTAAAGAGATAAAATTGGTTAGTTAAAAGAATTAAGGTATCACTGTTTAAAAACTATTAAACATTAATTAAAATTAATTTATTATTATACCTAATTTTTATTCGGAAAAAAAATACAAAAACATTAATATTATTATTTTTAGATGTAAAAGGAGTTTTAATAATGATTCGCATATATTCAGCGAAGACTAAAATATTAATTTACCTTGTTAACTAAAAAATTTAATTTAAAATTTAATTTTATTTAAAAATTAAATTTTTCTAAAAGATACAAATTTTCGAGAAGCTATTTCAGCGAGGGGACGACTAGCAATGATACCGATTTTTAGCTAGTGGTGACTTTTACTACAGCTTGAATATTCAACGTATTAAATTAACGTTTCCTGATATAAGTCTATCAACTCAGATACCATTTATTTTTGTCCAATCCATTTATATGAGTACGTGCTTGTACATTTCGAGAAATTATTTCATAAATAACCGATACTCATGAACAGGATATCTACTAAGGTATCTGATATTAAAATAGCTTGTACTTGAATATCAAAATATACGATATTATCATTGTTTATAAATAAAATGATATAAAATACATTATTATACCATCAATTACATCATAACAATGCACTGATCATTTGAAAAAAAAAAAATTAATATTCAAAATATACAAAATAGAACAAAATGAAAATATTTAACACAAATTATTTTATATTTCTTCAATCACTGTTTAAGAGTGTACGTAGTATATCTACTCATGGTAGATTTTATGAACAATATTAAAATTATACGATATATATAGGCACAGCATATTTTATGAGAACATCACTGGACTTCATATGATGCGAGAGTGTAAAGAAATATCGAACGATATTAAAGTATTATCTCACCGGACACAAAATGTTCTCTAAAACCTTTAAGGAGCGATTCCCTAGGTTTGTAGACGCGCGATTCTAGTTTTGGCTGCTTTGCCTATTTTTAATTGAAACCTATTCCCCGTCGCACGTCTGGTGTATCTATAACCACGTGACTGACGCTCCGTAGGGGGTCAAAACGCATGAGACGTGTGACCAAGATTTGTTATTCATTGACTAGTTGATTCGATTATGCAATTTATATAATTAAATTGATCTCAAGTAAGCCTAAAAATTCTTTGAATTTAGTGTTATCTTGATATAAATGCTTTTCAATTAAAATATTAAAAAAAACCTTCAGTTTTTCTCGCTCGACACATATTGTGAACGTTTTTTCTTCTATTTCATAATATTTCTTTTATGATAATTTATTCATTATCTACTTATACTCAAAGCGAATATAATGAAATCGTTTTCTGTATGCTAAGTGACATTACTAAAAATTCAAAATACGACAAAAACTTAAAACTCAATATAAACGTACGTACTATTATAATGATAAGGAATATAAAAATATCATATGATAATATAATAATAATGTAGATTATAGTCCTGCCGTGGGTCTCTTGCAGCTGCGTTTTGTAATATGGAATACATATTCAGTGGCCCTCCTCAAAAATTCAAATCGCGCCGGTTGCGCGTCTGTAGACGCGTTTTAGAAAATCGCTAATTAAATGCACCACAAATCAAGTAAACATACAGGTACCTATAATATACCTACCATTTTTTCCACTTCATTTGAACACGTTGTACAATGCATTCATAAGAACTTAGATGGTATGTCCTTGTACTTGTTTAAACGACAAATTATACTTTTGTAATAGATGTAATCCGAATCCATACTCAATCCATATTTTATACGTTTTAACGAGCTAAATATCTACTACATCACGGTTTTCCTACTTCTACATTACCAAAAAATAAAATAATATACTTAAAAATATATAAAAATATAAAATTCAATTATGCATTACCGAATGCCTATATTCTCATATCACATATAAGTTTCTATTAGTAATTTTCGCTTAACAGAAAAAATGTGTTCGATAAACAATAGATTATAAAATAAAAAATAAAATTGGGCGATCATTTTAAATATAATCTCATATTCATTTAATTAGGAAGTGGTTGTGCTATTTCAACGCAACATTGATTGTTTTTATTCAAATGCAATTCAAAAAATATTATTAGAAATTCATCAAGAACATGACCTAGAGAATTATTCAAAACTATTCTTGGTGAAATAATTTTTCTATACAAGCAACTTCATTAAATTATCCACTTAGTATAACAAGTACATCTCTCTGAGATAATAAGACTAGAAATTACTGTGACATGTGATTGTATGTTACCATAGTTACACTGTAAATGCTTAACTTTACTAAAATAAGGGTGTGCGCTTTAGCGAGATGAATCAGTCACTGCCAGACTGCCAAGGTTCAAGGGTATTGGTCATGTTTGCAAATCGTTTAAACTCATTCATTTCCTTGATGTTGTTTGCGCAATATTTTTTTTTAATTAGTATACACATTGTTCAATGTAAGACATAATAGTGTGACCAAATTTAAGGATTTATAAAAATAACAAATATTTAGTTCATCATTAACATATAAAATTATGTGAAATTTTTTTTTTAAATAAATTATAGAATTATATTTTTTCAGGAAATATATTTTTTAATTTTAAACAAGTAAAAATATTATTATATAATACTGGTGATAAATGATGTAATTCTTTACCTATTTAATAATATAATTTATTATGAATGTGAAAACTTTATTTAATTCATATGAAACGTATTGGTATTACTGTAAAGTACTAATTTATACTTATAGTATAAACGATATACAATTACGTATACCTTTATTTTGTTATACATCAGTACATCACTTTCCTGAAATAAATAATTTTCCAAATCTCGTTTTCTCATTTTTAATAGCTATAAAAAAAAATTAAGTACCTATATTGGTCATTGGTGCATGTTTTATTGTTTACGCAAAACATTTAATTACATACTTATATAAGGCAGTTTTCACAGTTGACATTTATTACTTTCAATGTGTATAAGAAAATTTGAATCATTCAACAATCAATATTAGATTCATGCAACCCAAATTTGGTTTTTTGTATATAAAATTATTAAACTTTGTCTTAAATATTTGTTTTTTCTGTTAATTAATTATTTGCGTACACAATTCATGTCTTAATATAAAAAGTAACCTCTAGTTTTGATTTGTTCTTTCAAAATTTTTTTAACATTTAGTTAATTTACGTTTTAAATTCTTAAGTGGATCATGAATTATAGAAATTTTTAATTATTTTACATTATGACTACACTGTAAGTAATTTTAGAATTTAAAAGGTTAGTTCAACCATTGAAATACAATTGTATTCAAAACTAGTGGTCGCCTGTTAAAAAGTTGTAATTTTTAAGTTATATTGCACATATACTTAATTAATAGAAATTAAGAGACTAAAATAAACAAATTTGAATTATAAAATACAATTACAAATTAAATGAAATCATAATTACAAATCAAAAAAATATAACTCGTGTTGCATGTGACTCTGCATTGAAATATTAGTACTTTCTTTGCTGAACTATAGTGATACAACTGAGATGTGTATAGGTCATAGTGAAGGTACAACAATTATAGAAAAGTATCGTTCACGGTTTTTAAAAGTAGATATGTATTTTTAGAAATATATAGTGGGGGTCGTGACCTTCGTAAGACTTAACATAAATTAAATCATAAGAGCGTTGTAA